TTTGGTGAGCTTGTGTGAATTGTAGCCTCAGTTTCCTGTTCTTAGCTGACAGGACTGGACCCCCAGTGTGGTCTTTTGCTGCTGCAGCCCATCTGCTTCAAGGTTTGACATTGATAAATCTTTTCTGTAAATGATTTGAATACTTCTTCCACCTCTGCAAGAAGCCGACTGAAAAGCCAAAATGGTTTTCTGGGCCTTTAAAGCAGCACAAATGGGCCTTCATATCATCCAGTAACTTTCAGATACAAAGAAGAGAAAACATTGAGTGTCACCTCATCCTGTAGTTGATGGATCGTTTTTGAAACTCTTTAAATATTCTGAGACATTTCAGACCAGACTGTCGTGGTCATACCACTTGATATTTCTATGGTCAGCGGCACTCAGATAAACCTCTCTGAGACAGACCTCAACTGGAACACCTTTGGCTAAAGGAAAAGGTCCAGCTCATGCTCAGAGTGCTTCAGTCTGCAGCTGACATTTTTCATTTTAATGGTGACAAAAATGTGATTTTTGACTGGAGAGCAAAATGGCCCGCAGTCCGAGTTAAAAAATACCATCAATACACACTTTGTGCTGTGCCTCCAAAGAGCGTCCCTGTAGTATTGCACACACACACACACACACACACACACACACACATTTATTCATTGCTGCTCTCGCTATGGTGGTCTGAGGAGAGACTCAGTGTGTTTATGTTACCTACAGTAGTGTTAGAGCATGGATGGATGGAAGTCAAACTGAAGTTTGAGGGAGAGAAGTGGAGGAGTAAGTAGCAGAGAAACAGATGTGGTGCAAATTTAGCAGCACAGAGGTGAAAGAGCTTTTTATCTTTTGCCCTTTGACTCGGATGCCCTGAATAACTCTTACGAGGGTCTCAAGTTACCCCGGAAGAGATCAGTTTGGCTTCCAGAAATAGAGAGGAGGCGCAACAAGTCGACCTCTTGGCTATGAACTCATCTTAACTGTAATGTAGTGCTTATAAAGAGTTACTTTAAATGAGATTAACATGCATTTATCTTATTATCATCGCTTATATTGTATACACAAGAAGGTTAATGCAATTCTTTGATTAATATTCTCCTTTTTTTATTCTTTGGTAATTATGTTTAACTGGTGTACGTTTGTTCCAGCTGTAAAAAATTTGAAGCATACACACATTTTCTTAACTCTTTTAAAGACAGGAAGACTACATCACACTTAGTTTAGCAAACTGCTGTGAACAAGCTGATCACATAATCTGAGAAAGCTATCAGATTATATTTCATTCAGTCTTATAAACCTGTGGTTACGTGCCAGTGAAACACAAGTGCCACTTCTTGACATTCAGGTGTTTCAAGACTGAACAGAGAGGATTGTGTAATACTTGCCTAACTGGAAGAACTGGCTCCAACTAGTCAATTACATTTATTCATAGCTTGCGCTACAGGCACAAGTGCATGGACAGGAGGGTGTTTAGTCGGCATCACTAGATGCACAACAGCCAATTTGTGACATGTTTTCCAATACATACATACATACATATATATATATATATATATATATGTATATATGTGTGTGTGTGTGTGTGTGTGTATACATACATGTATATCTTACTATATAATGACGAAAACTCTGTGTGTGTGTGTGTGTGTCTCTGTTCCACGTTTTTCTCCTCACTGACTTGGTCAATCCATGTGAAATTTGGCACAGTGGTAGAGGATCATGGGAGGATGCGAATGAAGCAATATTACATCAATTGGCCAAAAGGGGCTCTATAGCAATGAATGAAATTGCAAACTTTGAAATGGCAAACTTTGAATGAGCATATCTCATGCCCCGTATGTTGTAAAGACATGGAACTTTGCACAGAGATGCCTCCCCTCATGAGGAACAAATTTGCCTCAAGAACCCATAACTTCCGGTTTTATAGATTTTCCGCCATTTTGATTTTTTTGATAAACACTTCAAATCGATCTCTTCCTATGAAGTTTGATTGATCTGCATGAAACTTTGTGAACATAATCTAGGGACCAATATCTAAAGTTCCCTCTTGGCAAAAGTTGGAAAACTTACTAAAACTGAGCTTCTATAAGGCAATGAATATTGCGGAGGACGTGGCTCATCACATAAAGGTGTATAACCGATCACCATGCAACTTTGTAGACATATGACCACACATAATCTGAGAGGACCCCTCCATTATTGACCCCATCAAACAAAATGGGGGCGCTAGAGAGCTAATTTCTTATCTAGGCCTAACCACCATATCGATTTTTACTAAACTTGGGGGGGGGGGGGTTGCCTATATTTGACAGGACAGTGAAGCATGACAGGAAGGATGGGAGAGAGAGAGCAAGGAAGACACGCAGCAAAGAACGAAGGCCAGATTCCAACCCCCACCGCTGCAACAAGGGCTAGCCACACCTTTCCCATGTGAACTACCAGTGTGCCCCACTTTTCAGTCAATACAACATATAAACACTTTAACTATCTCCCTTTCAACGTGCTACCTCAACTACTAATACAGTTTTAGCCCACTTACTATCCCACTATTGGCAGTGGTACTACTGTTCTTTCTATAAAGCGATCGTACTATCAAATTCACAAAAACTCTGTCTGAATACATTGCTCTTCTTAATGGGTTCAGTTGATTATTTAATCTGCTATTTCCTATGACCTGTATCCCAAACACACGCCATGTGAAACTGTATGTGGGCAACTGTGCACTCAATGGGTATGGACTAGTATACAGTATTTTAGCTTGATAGTATTGACTGAATATTGCAGAGTGCTGTGTACCGATGCATTTCCTAAATGGGACCTCCATCAGCCTGGTGAGCATCTGGTGAGGAGTGATTTTAGATAGCAGACAGTTTTATAGCACTGAACCTTTTTCGTGATGAATGCAATGTAACACAGATTTCACACAGGCATTAAATATTTCACAAAATGTTACATGTAACTGAAAGCTGTGTGAGTGCTTTTGCTGTGTATGCTACATACATAGCGGCACTACAGAATGCCACAACATCACTTTACACATTCCTTTTTTAGTCAGTAACAAGTACACTGCTGTTTTTCATGACTTGGTGACTAACCCTGAAACAGAGCCTCCGTTTTCTGTACAGACTGGTAAAGAAAGAGAGTGAGACCTTCAGTTTTCAGAGATCAGTCCTACGGAGTTTTTTATGGAACAAACAGACAAGAGGACACGTGAATCAGGACCAAAAAAAGCATCCAACATTTCTGAGAGCTGCTGCAGGAGAGCTGGGAAGGTGCACTCAGCTAAATGCCTCATTTGTGAAGCTTTTACTGAAGTAAAAAGGCTCTTTGAGGAAGCAAGGTTTTATAAACAGTCTTCCAATTTGTTGAACTTTGCTTTGATATTCTTCTGTTAAATTAATATTTTTCTATATTTCAAAGCATTTGCATAAACCTTGAGGTGAAACATTGTCACCTGAGTTTTCAGCTAGTCTTATCAAAACCTTAATTACCACATTATAAAGGATATATTGGTGATGGACTGCACTTGTATAGAGCTTTTCTAGTCTTCTGATCATTCAAAGCACTTTTAAGTCACATTCACCCATTCACACACACGTTCACACACACATTCACACACTGGTGGCTGAGGCTACCATACAGGGTGCCAACTGCTACACAGTATCCATTAACACACACTCAAACACCAATGGAACAGCCATGGGGAGCAATTTGGGGTTCAGTATCTTGCTCAAGGATACTTCGACATGCGGGCTGGAGGAGCCAGGGATCATACCGCCAATCTTCCGAGAAAAATAAAATGACTTAAGCATCAATAAATAAATGTATAAATAAATACAAGAATAAACAAACAAAAAAGAAAATAAATAAAATGATACATGAATGAATAAATGTTGAAACAAATACAAACATAGATTAATGCATAAATAAAAAATGATAATTAAGCAGGACATAGATGAATGAATCTTAATGTATCCATATATTTTGTACAACTACATTTATTTAAGTATTTCTGTGCCTGTATATTGATGAAGCAGAAGGTTCGAACCTCTGCATTTATTTCTTTATTATTTATGTATTAATTTATACATTTATTTCTTTGATGCTCATGTCAGATATTTACAGTACAGTAGTAGTGTCAGTCTGAACATAAAGCGACCAGCTTTCAGGATGACGGTGTTTCTCCCAGGATGTGGCACAACATCATGTTTGCAATAGGTTTTATTTACCATCACTTGAAAATAGGAGAGATCTTTAGACAAATATCCTGTTTTAAGAACAACACTCCACCTAAGGGTTTGTCTTCATTTGTTTTTTAGATGAAGCATATAGAGCAAATCCAAACAGTTACTGCCCTGCTGCAGCAGCTTAAAATACTCACAGAAATGTTTTCTTGAAATCAGCGTGCATAAACGACAGTTGTCATATTAGAAACAATAGGTTCCATAAAACCAATTCTCTCTGTTATTTTACAGTAATACAGCTATGAGTGTATTATTTAATTATTCATTTGTGCCTTGTCTTGTGTAAAAAAAGCACATTAGAAATACTCCAGCCAAAACAATAACACTGTGGAGTTGTCACAGTGGACATGGCAGTCTAAAAGCTGGATACCACCTGAATCCTTGTATAGTTCCTGTGTGATCTTCTACTATCTGTGCTCATTGAATAACGTCAAAAATGCACACAAAATATATTCATTAATTTTCCATAACTGCTTATCCTGTTATGGGTTGCTGGGGGCTGGGGCCTATCTCAGCTGACACTGGGCGAGAGGCGGGGTACAACCTGGACAGGTCATCAGGCTATCACAGGGCTGACACATAGAGACAGACAACCATTCACACTCACATTCACACCTACAGACAATTTAGAGTCAGCGATTACCCTGCGTGTCTTTGGACTGTGAGAGGAAGCTGAGGTAAACCCTGAAAACCAACGCCGACACAGGGTTCAACCAGGAACCCTCTCGCTTTGAGACAACAATGCTAGTATCAAAAAATGACAGTACAATAAAACATGCTTGAGACAGCTTTGTATTTAAAATTACACGTTAAATCATTAGGTTCTGGTAAAAAACAAAACAATCACATAGAAATCGTTCATCTGTATCAAATCATTGTTAATCATATTTAAACTTAAACCATCTTTAAATTGTAATATAAACACAGTATTTTACACATCAGTCGTCATGGCTGCAGTGAGAGGTAACAGTCGACCATGTGCTGTATGTCGAGAGGAACAGAGTGCAAAGTGATCCACTTGTAAACAGCTTTGAAGTTTGCACACAACAAATAAGCAGTTACTGTTTATCAGGTTATACAACTGATGTGTTGTCAATGCCTGAGGGCCCTGTCATAAACACACCTGAGGATGTGCCTCCTTTAAACTATGTTCAGCTTGATCCATTTAAATATTCAAATAGGTGAGGCTGTAAAAAAAAAACTTTTATTTTGGCTGTTTTTCCTCAGTATGTCTTGCAGAATTCAAAGCAACAACCTGATGTCCAATTTATTAACTGCAAAAAACTGGGCAGAAAAAAATACAAATTCACTTTCTGAGTGAAAACTGTTATGCCCAGTCAAATGCAGAAATTACATATAGACACAGTCTCCCACAGCAAGAACATTTATCCTAATTTAGTAAATTGAAATCTAAGCGTGTTGTTGTGACAGTTCAAACAGTGTACTTGTCCTCTCCTTGCCTCTGTGCTTTGTGATAGTGGGTGTAGCTGCTGTACAGCTCATTAAACACCTCTCTGACTCCCATCTGCAGTCCGGCCGTCAGAAACTTAATATCCTGCTCCATGCACAGGTCCAGTATCCGATAGATCCCCTCTGTTAGATGCAGCTTAATGTCTGGCCGCAGAGTAACCTGCAGGGGTAAATAAGAGGGCAGTTATGATGAAAAAGGAGAAGCCGGCAGACAAGACAATATGAGAGAGACCAGAATTTAAAATTGGAGGTCAAACAATGTTCATATGTATTTCATAAATCATATCTTTGTTTCACCATCAGTCGGCTTAGTTTCACTAGGCAGCGACGGTCCTTCCTGGTTCACACACTCACTCACTGCGAGTCTTCAACATTTTCCTCATGCACTTTAATGAGATCTGTCTTAGCTGATTACAGGCAACATGACACTGAACGTTTACACACAGCCTGAGGGCAAACATATCAAGCCACTAATCAAGTGCCACAAAAGTTGAATATTCAAGTATGTCCCTCACGTCCTGCTTGATACCGGTGTCATTTTTAAAACAGGCCGAGGTTCAGACCTGAAAAAGTACACACACACTTCATATCTTCCTGTGTGATAGAAGAGGGCAAACAACACAACACCAAGAGTTGCTCTCTTTCTCCAATGCCACACAAATGTGTACACACACACACACACTACACTAGACACCACCCTTTGTGCTCAGTAAACACTGCAAAACAAGCCAAGAAAGATTCGACAGTGTCTGGTTATTTCCCCTGTTACTTCATCCCCTCGCAGGTGTTACACCCTCATGACCTGATGACTGCTACAGTTAGCTAGACCACATTCTTCAGACCTTTGATATACATCATAAACATGACAGTCGCTCTGTGCTTGTGACTGTACCTGTTAAACGATTAGATAAGACCTCACTCATATGATTACAGGCTTCACACTATGATGAGAAGAGTCTATTACAGGTTTTCTGCTAACAATGTTCCCCTATCAAATGTCATGTAGCACAGTAGTCTGCCAAAGTTACAGTTAGTGGTGTGCTGACTGTCCAAATACCTGGTGTTGTTATCACAACCTGGATACATAAAGAAAACAGGACGCAGTGGCTGCACCAGGTGGCAACCTCTAGGGCTGAAAAATGAAGCCAACATCTAAAGGCCACACGAGGCTGGCTGGAGTTGATGTTCACAGCCTGGTACAAAAATAGTTTTGGTCTCTATAGCTAATTTCTCTGTAAGTGACAACTGTACATGGTGTTAATTCTTAAGTATCTCACCCATTTACATTTTATTGAAGCTTACACATTATTGAGGCTAGGGCCGCTTTGAGTGACAGGCTTTCCGTGAGGCGTCACCACCACCATGAGTCACATCCACCCCTCGCTACTCCACAGCTCCACCCTCTCCTCCAAATATGGTCACTTGTGGCTCCAAAAACAAGATGGTGACGGCCAAAATGCTGAACTCGTGGCTTCAAAACAGGAGTCCACAAACCAATGCTGATGTCACCATGGCTACGTCCATTATTTTATAGTCTACAGTCAGCGCACTGAGAGCCAAAGCTTATGATTAGAGTCCTATCAGCACTTGGAGGCACCAGGAAGCTGATGAATCACTGTCTTTAAGGGCTGCAACTAACCATCATTTTACTTATTGATTAATCTGCTCATTATTTTCTTGATTAATTGTTTTGTCGATAAAATGTCACAAAATGGTGAAAAACCTGTCCTGTGTTTCCCAGAGCTAAAGGTCACCTCTTTAAATGAGATGCTTTATCTGACCAACAGTCCAAAGATCTAAAGCTATTCAGTTTATCTTCATGTACAGTACAGGCCAAAAGTTTGGACACACCTCCTCATTCAATGCGTTTTCTTTATTTTCATGACTATTTACATTGTAGATTCTCACTGAAGGCATCAAAACTATGAATGAACACATGTGGAGTTATGTACTTACCAAAAAAAGGTGAAATAACTGAAAACATGTTTTATATTCTAGTTTCTTCAAAATAGCCACCCTTTGCTCTGATTACTGCTTTGCACACTCTTGGCATTCTCTCCATGAGCTTCAAGAGGTAGTCACCTGAAATGGTTTCCACTTCACAGGTGTGCCTTATCAGGGTTAATTAGTGGAATTTTTTGCTTTATCAATGGGGTTGGGACCATCAGTTGTGTTGTGCAGAAGTCAGGTTAATACACAGCCGACAGCCCTATTGGACAACTGTTAAAATTCATATTATGGCAAGAACCAATCAGCTAACTAAAGAAAAACGAGTGGCCATCATTACTTTAAGAAATGAAGGTCAGTCAGTCCGGAAAATTGCAAAAACTTTAAATGTGTCCCCAAATGGAGTCGCAAAAACCATCAAGCGCTACAACGAAACTGGCACACATGAGGACCAACCCAGGAAAGGAAGACCAAGAGTCACCTCTGCTTCTGAGGATAAGTTCATCCGAGTCACCAGCCTCAGAAATCGCAAGTTAACAGCAGCTCAGATCAGAGACCAGATGAATGCCACACAGAGTTCTAGCAGCAGACCCATCTCTAGAACAACTGTTAAGAGGAGACTGCGCCAATCAGGCCTTCATGGTCAAATAGCTGCTAGGAAACCACTGCTAAGGAGAGGCAACAAGCAGAAGAGATTTGTTTGGGCCAAGAAACACAAGGAATGGACATTAGACCAGTGGAAATCTGTGCTTTGGTCTGATGAGTCCAAATTTGAGATCTTTGGTTCTAACCGCTGTGTCTTTGTGAGACGCAGAAAAGGTGAACGGATGGATTCCACATGCCTGGTTCCCACTGTGAAGCATGGAGGAGGAGGTGTGATGGTGTGGGGGTGTTTTGCTGGTGACACTGTTGGGGATTTATTCAAAATTGAAGGCACACTGAACCAGCATGGCTACCACAGCATCCTGCAGCGACATGCCATCCCATCCGGTTTGCATTTAGTTGGACGATCATTTATTTTTCAACAGGACAATGACCCCAAACACACCTCCAGGCTGTGTAAGGGCTATTTGACCAAGAAGGAGAGTGATGGAGTGCTGCGGCAGATGACCTGGCCTCCACAGTCACCGGACCTGAACCCAATCGAGATGGTTTGGGGTGAGCTGGACCGCAGAGTGAAGGCAAAGGGGCCAACAAGTGCTAAACACCTCTGGGAACTCCTTCAAGACTGTTGGAAAACCATTTCAGGTGACTACCTCTTGAAGCTCATCGAGAGAATGCCAAGAGTGTGCAAAGCAGTAATCAGAGCAAAGGGTGGCTATTTTGAAGAAACTAGAATATAAAACATGTTTTCAGTTATTTCACCTTTTTTTGTTATGTACATAACTCCACATGTGTTCATTCATAGTTTTGATGCCTTCAGTGAGAATCTACAATGTAAATAGTCATGAAAATAAAGAAAACGCATTGAATGAGAAGGTGTGTCCAAACTTTTGGCCTGTACTGTATGACAAAGATGCACATCAAATTACATCACATTTCTCATTTATCAAAATAGCAGCCAATTTATATTTTGTCAACCATCAAATCCATTAATTGACTAATTATTGCAGCTATTCAATCAGCTTTGTATCGTAACAATGTGGGTAGTGTCTGTAAATGAACTATCGTAAACTTCCTTCCATGTCTTTTGGTTGCTGCGTTGCACCATGTCTCACCTAAAATGTCTTCAGAGACATATTTAGCTTACTGTTTAGCTGTATTTAGAGATTATTTCTTATCAGCCGGATGCCATATTGATTTCTGTGGAAAAACGGCCAAGCTTGTATTGTATCATCCATCAGCAGGAGCATTTATTGGTCCAGTGGGGCGTAGTGCATTCTGGTAATTATAAGTTTTCTACCTCTTGGGCAAAAGCGATAACCACAGCCCTTCTTCTCTGTTTCCTCTGGTCATGTAGCACCACTTTCAGAAGTATTTATGTCTGTCTACTGCATAGACGGTCCAATTTTATGAAAAGACCATCTTTCCAGCAGTGAAGTACTTCTTTATGACACAGGTCTTGGATGTGAATTGTAAATTTGTATTGAAATTACTTTGTTGCATTGCTACTTAGCTTTTTGGTTCTACCCTAAACCTATTTCTTATTCATAAGGACTCTTTGAACAGAAGACTACATGTGAGTTTTCAAAGCCTTCTGTAGTCACTCCTCATCTCTACATGAAGCTACACTGTGAGAAATTCAGGCCCGAGGATTTGAGGAAAAAGAGCACATGAAGTAAAAACACTATTTCTGGTTGGTGGATCGATTCAGATCCCTTTTTCTTTAAACTGTCCATCATGAGTCCGATACTGTTATAGGAGCGCAATGCTCATAAATCAGTGTTCTCTTTTAATGGGGTTTTCAACAGAATAGCAAGTCAAACCTGTTCAATATCAAGACTAATGCCCACATTCACAAACTGCACCAGCACAGAAACTGTTTTTCTCACTGCAGCTCCACTCTGGTCTAATAACACCTGGCTGCTGCACAGAAAGTTCAGCTCAGGCACAGAGAAACAGTTCTGACACAGAGACGGCTAAATTACCTCTGACTTACAAAGAGGTCCATCTCTTTGAAAAGCCCCATTAAAAGCACAATAGAAATCCAATTTTAGGATTATTAGATGGCTCACAGAATTAAAAAGATCTCAAACACCTCTTTCTCACTGTTTCTATCTGCCTGTCTCTCTGTCTACCTGTCTGTCTGTCTGTCTGTCTGTCTGTCTGGATGGGTACTCTCATGTCTCCCTCTCAATGTGTAACTCTGCTGGAAACTGCTGAGTCAGGTTGGCGTCTTGTTAAGTACAGTCTGGTAGCAGAGAGGAGCCGCGTTCACAGACCAGACGTGAGTCACTGCTCTGTGGGAACATCCAGCCCAAAGCTTCATTCCAGCACATGGAGTTACAGTAATCCTGGACCTGTTCACTCACATTTGTGCACACTCACAGTCTGGCCAATGAAAACACTTCCCCATCTCTGCGTCTGAGCGTCAGCATCTCCGTCACTTTGCTCAGCTGAATCTCACCAGCTCAACGAGCACCACGAGACAAACTGGGCTGGATGAAAGGATCAACTGAGATCCTGCTGCCTCATTCATTTCACACATGTTTGTGTATATGTGTGTATGTGTGTCACTAACAGCTGTGGAAAAACAGCGGGGATGACAGATGGGTTTGGATGAGGAACCGTGTTGACTTTGTATGATACTATGACTGCGTGTGTGTGTACCTTCTGCAGCTCTGTGACGTATTGAGCCACCATGAAGGCTGACAGCGTAGTGAAGCTCTCAGCTGTAGCGGCGATGTGAGAGTACATCCTCTCTATCAGTCTGGAGCACTGGAGATACACGTCTCCATCTGGATGTCAGAAAAACAGAGACTGGTGTTAATTTCTTCTACATGTTTACTTAGATATCATCTTCACATACACATGGGAAACTACAGCCTGCGTGTAGTGGTTTGGGGCAGTTTGGATTTGCTGCACTTGTTAATGTGGGAAGCAAGAAAGTTTCAGTTGTGTTTCACACTTGAATAGTTTCAGTACCTGCTAGACTTTCGTTTCCCCTTTTTATTTCATAACAATGTTACTGCAGTACACTTTAATTGCACCACTAAGGCTTGGATCGTTTAAGCACTAAATTAATTAATAACAGGAGTTTGGAGTGCACACAGAAAATTACACATACTTTTACAACTGTCAAAAAAAGCAGGCTGATTGGCTCGTAAAACAATAATATAGAGAATTCTCCAACAGATGACTGCGGTTTGTCTGCTGCTGAGTTAATATTAGTCACTGTCTACAGTTTGTGTTTGGACATGACACCTCCCAGTTCTCTACCACCTCCAGTAACAGGAAAAGAGAAGAACAAGTTCTATTAAAAATTGAATAAAGCTTCAAACTGTTTTTTCAGCAAATTTTTATGAATTTACATGATGCAATTTGTTACTAATCTGCTATTTATTCTTTGTGACATTTCAAGTGCATTGAACCACAAGCCAGACCTGAACTGAAGAGTATTTGTTTGTAATTTACTGGCAACTCTCTGAACATGTTTGGAACATCAGTGTTTGCTCCATCAGGGCTTCAGGACTTTTAGAAACGTTACTATTACTATCTCAACCTACAGCCTTTCACTGTGTGCTGTGAAAACTCTCAACTTCCTGTTTTTCCCAGTGGATTAATCAAACAGTTATCTGCTCAGATAATAAAGATTGTGTGTGTTTCTCACCAAAACCAATGTTTTGCTACACATTCATTTATGGTAATATATAATGAGTCTTCTTGTCAGAGTCTGTGTGTTACCTGTGTCACTGTCTCCTCCTCTCTGCCGACCCTCCTGCATGATGGAAGCCACCAGACGATAGAAGACATTTAAGAATGACGGCGCTGCACTCAACATCACCTGAACACACAAGAAGTACATTGTTATAGCACATATGTGTTAGGTACTCCCTAAAAACTTGGTATTTCACCCTGGGGGCAGTGCCTTACGTCCTGCGTCACAGACTGTTGTGTACCTGGCGTGTGTTCAGCCGCCTTATGAAGATACACTCGGATTTTTGCTGCTTGTACTGCTGGCACAGCTGCAACCATGCTTACACTGTACGTTACATTGTGCGTGCCATGTTTCAGAACGTTTTTAAGGTGATGTGGTATATGAGCTGACATTGTCATCAGGAGATGAAAGGGATGGTGGAGGGCGTGTCACCTAAGCAAGACAGCTGTCAAGTTGCAGACTAGTGTTCAAGACCAAGACACAACAAAACCCGTTGTGTTTTAGTGAGTCACTGATGTGTTTCCAGTGGCTTTTTAGGCTCCAAACATGGGTACTTTTGTGGTGACCCATTGGTTGGGATATTGCCACATAAACTAGTTGTTTTTTAGTGAGACATCACTGCCTTCCCGCTGGGATTGTGCCCCTAAAACCTGGTATTTTAAACCAAAACATGATTTATTCCTAACCATTACAAAGTGGATTCTGTGCCCAAACCTAACCACACATTAACCACAGCACTGTTAAAATGTAAAGTGTCAATATAACCGCTACACAATAACATGTCAATGTAGGAAATCTGTGGTTTGCAGAAACATAAAATGCCAACATTTTTCCTGGCGATTGCATCGAGGATATCCCACAGCCTTCACATTATATAACTACCTAGTCAGAGGCTTTAATATGAATCCCACTCTGTGAGACCGACTTCTCCATCTCCATATTTTCATATACTGTAGCTCTGGAGTGGTTTACACTCTCAGGACTTATTCTAGTGGAGATGTGATTAAAAAAACACCAACCATGTGGGTTAGATTACAGGGAAATATATAGAAAATGGTGCACAAAACCTGCAGAAAATTTCCAATTGATGTAATGGTACAACACTGTAACAGAGAGAATATACAGTATATATGTGATACTGTCATAGAGTGCAGCAAAGTTTTTCCCCTGACTTAAAAAAGGGGAAAATTAAAGATGGATTAAGATGTAAAAAGTTTAACCTTTTTAAATGTGTACAAACCAGACCTGCAATATCTGTCTATCTCATCACTTTCACTGCTTGAGTTGTAACAGAGCAGCCATAAACTCTCAACCCAAAAAATGACTGAGGTAAAAGTTGGATTCCCACAAGAGCTACGTTTGCATTTCTGTCCACACACCTCTCTCTCTCTGTTCTCTATTCGGGGAGGCCTGCAGCCGACTGAGGGAGGGATGAAGAGAGAGAGAATATAAACGAGAGGGAGATGATGTCAGCGGCTCTAATTGGAGCTCGGTAATGGTTTCCATCGACTTCAACCAGCTCCATGCCAACCACCTCTGCATGCCAGCTCCCCTACCTCTGCTCTCCTCATTCCTCTCTGTCCTATCACACCTCCTACTCCAGCCCACTCCCCTCTTTCCTACAACTCCTGAAACTTTCCTCGTGCATTGCATTCAAATCACCTTAGTCTTTTGTTCTCTGCTTCCTGCTTCTTCCCATCATCTCTTTATCAGGTCTTGTTCTTATTCTACTCTCTTCCTCTATAAATGTACTCTCCTTTCCTTTATTACCTCCCTCCCTCCCTCCCTCTCTCCTCTCCTTCCTTGCTGTCTTCTGTCCTTGCAAACATCTGATATCAGTTAGCTGGGTCTTGCCCTGCTTGATTTAAAGCAGCTGCCCCATTTCAGTCGCAGTATGTCACCATTTCGGTATAAAAAAACATTGTCATCATTTCAAACAGCAAGTAACAAAAAAATTATCACATTAACACCATTATAATATGAACGCAGCACTTTAACCCAACAAAAGGCCGTGTGTGGGCTGGAATGTGGATCCACATTTGAAAGTTTTACATTCCTAGTAAAACCTCTCTCTATAGGCAAAAACGCTGTTCTGTCTTTTGACAGTTTGGGTGCAATGCAAGCACTTCCAGTAAAAGTGGAGAATTTGGACGTTATGAGGTTTTCGTGCAGCTGCAGCACGACTCTGGTGAGCTGCAATATCCTTTCTTTGAAAGAGACATTCCTCTGGGGCATCCTGTGGGCTCAGCTGCTGAGTTTTAGGGGCACATAACGCATTTTCTTTAAATCACGGATTCACATTACAATATGTATCACTTCCTTTAAAGACATGATACTTTCTGATAAATATTACACTATAAGCACAGTTTTAACATTTAAACTCAATAGAAAATGACTTTACTTTTATTACATTTTATTATTATTGCATTATCTCTGACTGATTACACGGTTTGTCATTCAGCCAATCCTCGACAATGTAAATGGGTTAGACATATTAGTAGAAACTCCTCTCAGTATGACGCAGCATAGCTTAACAGCACCACAAATTGCAGCCTCCAAACTGACCGTAAAGTTGAATCAACACCTCTCTAAAACAGTTTCAGCAAAAACTGAACATTACATGATGGTGGGATTTATAGCAGGACTGTTGGATTACACTGATGCATATTTTATCTTTTTTTTTCTTGCTCACACTCGCACATCTGTGCTAGGATCATTGGTTGCTATGTGTATGGTTACACTATATGTATAATAAATGTAAAATAATCTAATATGATCTTTACATCTCTATAATGGAGCACCAGTCGACTCGAGCTGCACCAATACATACACAGGTCACACGTCACTCCCCATATGTCATCTACAAACACACCCTCCCAATCTGGTGGTCTATTAAAGCTGCAAAATCTTCCCAACTCTCCCTTTGCATTGTCTATGCCTCTGCTGCCCTGCAGCTGTACTGCTGCTCGCTCCTTCAGCCCCACCTCCACCCCAGCATCCACCTGCAGGATCCAGCTAGGGAGGGAAATATTTAATCATCACTTCCCAATATCTCATGTAAACACATCTGCGGGGAGTGATGAGGCCGGAGGCTGGACGCCAACCTCTATCTATGTTCTGCTGTTGAAATAAACATTTAAGCGTGAGTTGTCTGGCTGAACTACACCTTTAAAACCTTTGATATCATTGCCAAGAGCTCCTTTTTACAGTCATCTCCAAGTTTGCTCCCTTATCCACTGACTCCTTCACCCTCTCCCTCCACTAACGCCCACCCATCTGCCTCTTCATACCTGAGGGTGACACTGGATGATGGCAAACAGCGCCTCATGAATCACCAGGAACGCTGAATGGTAGACGGATGGGGTCAAGTGGTCGAGGGGCACTGATTGGAGCGCTCCAAGGACCAAGTTCACGTGATGAGGGTTGGAGATAAGCCCCTCCCCCTGACGCAGCAGTGATGTCATTGACGTCAGTGTGGGAACCGTGAAGGAAAGAGTCAGGGAGATGTCTTCAGAGGACGATTTTACCAAGAACTGTAACACAGAGAGACAGAAACATATTCAGACACAACTATGAGAGCAAGTAGCTGCAAACACAAACACACACACACTCATACACACAAACTGTCTTTTTTCAATGTGCACATCAATGTCTTTTTTAGCTCTTATGCACCAACCTGGACTAGCACTCCTACTTTTGTCATATCCAGCACAATACAACGACAGTAAAGGCTCCCTATTCACGGCAAACATTTTGACTTGTCAGAGCAGGAAAAGCACAGGTGTAACTAATAACACTAATGGTGGCTCTGTTCTGGCTAAAGACCCTGAAACTGAAGCGGCTAAATCTTTTGTTTGATCATTTACACCTGTGCTTTTCTGGCTGTAACAAGTCAACATGCCTTCTGTGGCAATAGGGCTTATATAAAACAAATTATGACAAAGCAATCTTTAGATATTGCACTACTTTGTCAAATTCCATATTCACCCAAGATGTGCTGAGACTGTGTGCTGCACAGTTACAAATATTTAACTGCTTTTAAACCATCACTTTTTTTACAAGCATTAAACCAGGATGATTTAAGACTTTTAAATATAATTGTTCCAAAACTGATAGCAGAATCAAAAATGCCTCCAATACTGCCTAAAATGCTGGATCAGAAATTGGCGGGCACCGATCCCATACCATCTACTTTTTTAATATACTCGGATAAAATGGCAGTTTTCCCTGATATCAATTATTTTTTGCTGCTCTAAAACAGGAGCCTAGACAGCAAGTTGAGCTGTGCAGCAACTGGAAAACATTGTTTTGGAGCAACAAAGAAGAATTCATTTCCGGTAAATAGTGCATTGTTAGCAATTAGCAAAACGTCAGCAATTTGGCTTTTATTGTACACTGAAAAGTTCCACCAGTAAAAAGAGAACGTGTATAGTAAAGGCTTTAGTTTTGAGGGGTGGCACGAGTGGTGCCAATTTCTTATACATCTTATAAATCATCAAAAGACACATCACAGATGTATTTTTTCATGTTTGACAAAGGGTTTAACCTGAACAATCATCTCACATCCATACAGGGTTAGTGGTATCCAGCTGTTGAATTTTACGACTTTTACACAAGTTCAGGTATTGGAATCGTTATTAGGAAAGAAAAAATGGTGTCTGAACATCTCTATTTTTAAATGGGTCTTCTCTTACATCGTCTGGAGAGAAGAGGGGGGAAGAAACAACAGTGCAGACAGATGACAGACATATGGACACAGTCAGTGTCTCTAATAGAGACAGAACAGCATGGAACATATTAAAATGCTGTGTGTGTGTGTGTGTGTGTGTGTGTGTGTAATATGGTTAAGCAGATTGCCATGTTGTCTGTCTGCTCCACCCAGCAGGCCCGACGGAAAACTCATTGACCAAAAGGAGCCTCACTGAAAATTACAATGAACAGGCACTCCAGCGGAAATCAGCAGACACGACTGTCATTTGGCTGCTGAGTCATCTAGACGGCTGTCACATGTGCTTCCAGTGCACTGTCACTAAAGTAATTACTGATGTAAGGCCAGAGAACACACTGTTAAACACTCTCAGCGTGAGACCGTCCCCTGCTTGTCCTAACATTTCTGTGAAAGTCATAGTAGGAACTCGTGCTTCATGATTTCCAAACAAGTATTTTTACTCACAAGATTATAAAACTGTAATGACAGCTACTTGAGCTGCACTGAGGAATACCTCTATCCAGCAAATGCACTATTATAGTTAATTACAGCATTTCAAAGTCAACTCAATTCATTTTCTCTGACTGAAACAAACACAGAGCCGGCTTCAGCAATACAAATATCACCGCAGTATATCCTCATTCCAGTGATTTTAACCACACATGTTCCTAAGTGGCAGAGTAATCACGCACCAAGATTTGTCTTTAAGTATGCCATTAACTCTGTGGGTCTTTTGCAGGGTGTGGAGCAAGTTTATAGTCCAGCTCTTGACGAATTTGTTAACTGCTGTAACCACTTTTACCTCAGATAAATGTGAATAAGACCAAAGAAATGTTTACTGACTTCCGGAGGAGGCCCCTTCCCCTTGCCTCTGCTGCGTGTGTAATTAAGAGTGAGTCAGTGCAGCAGTATTTTGGCACTGTCTTAGAAGACAAGCTTGAATTTGATGCAGATGCTGTATGTTTAAAGGAAAATCAACGGCTGTTCTTTTTAATGGAAGTTTTAACGTGAACAAGACACCTTCTTTTACTGAGTCTGTCCTTTCTTCGTTTATGATTTACCAGTTTGGCAGTCTTCGTCTTAAAAATAGGAACATACTGAAACAAACATTCAAGCTGTACTGTAAGATTACTGGTGCTACCCTTAATGACCTTCAGCACCTGGATGAAATGAGGGTCACCTCAAAGGCACGGACTGTTGTTTTGGACCCTCAAAGTCCTTTACATGCTGAGCTCCAGATGCTTTCATCGAGGTGGTGGGTTTCTTTTTAACAAACTATAACCATAGATGTCGAGTCATTGTGTCCTCTTTCTTCTTTTCCATGATTCATTGTGACTTTGTGGGAGGCATGGATCCTGTGCTTTGTATAGTATATTGTATGTAATTGTGTTAGACGACTCTCTGTAAATAAAGTTGCCCCTCGAGGACAATATGTTTTTGACATGACATGTTTGCTCTTCAAGTGGTAATGTCTTTTTTTTAGGGGGAGGTAAAAGGCATTTAGGTGACTCAACATCACACACATATACTGACACAATACTCTTTACGCTAGAGGGCAGCTCCTCCTGCCTGGTCAGGAGAGAAACTGCAATCATAAAACATAATTTCTTTCTCTCCCTCAAAAAGTGTTCACCACTCCTGCAGCCAGATGCATCTGTGTATGTTCATGACAACAACTGTGTGTGTGCGCAAAGACAGAAATGTGCTTATAAACTCTTTTTGTCAGATTTATAAAGCAGCCTGATTCTGTTTTATAAATCTAAATCACTGTGGCGCTGGATGCATGTGTACGCGCCTCTTTTTCACACCCACAGTTCAACATAAACATAAGTGGATGTAGAGCCACCCTTAAACATCCCCCTCCATAATGAAATTTGTGCACCCTGTACCACTCATAGATCTGTCAATGAGAAATACAGCTATATAAATACAGCTACTGACTGTGTTGCATGGGCGAGGTTCTCCAGCAGAGCAGCTTTCTTTCCACATGGCTGTGGCTATTTGTAGTGTCCGTACTAATTAATCACATGTACCTGTTAAGCATAATTGCAGTAAAACTTCAACCATCATCATCATCACTGTTAAATGTCAGACAGATGATCAATGATTCATTCATAGCGCTCATGTTGAAACTGACTTTACAAAGTGCTTCACAACCCAGAATCAGACTAAACAGTCATTAACAGGGGGATGACGGCTCAAATGCAAATAAAAAGAATGATGAAATTCATCGCTCAAAACCAATAAATCCAAAACCAATTTTAAAATGCAACTTTAATTGACATTTCACAGAATGACGGGCAGCCTGCAAAAATAATAACACTATGGGGGAAATTGGCAAACAACCTAAAAACAATGTTTTCCATCTTAACTTATATTCAGTCTCTTTATCATGTCAGCAGCAGCTCTCTCAGCTAAAACTGTGTGAAGGCCTGTTATGAAGTCTGCGTGAGGGGTGCACATTCTCACCACACATTCTCTCTTTATAAATACCACTTTATGTGTGGGAAAAGAGGTATTCACGGTTTTTGAGTGCACACATCATTTATACATCTGGTCACTGAATATTCAAACACTTTCAACATTCAGCATGTGTAGTGTACAGGCTGATGTTACTAGTTTAGTCTAGTTAGACCCAAACAACTCCTGATCCTAACAACAAAACACTACATTCAAATGCATGTATGTGTGCACATCTATCTATGAGTAGCATATGCATATGTGTGCGTACGCCCAGTCAGCCACCAAAGGAAACTCTTTCATGTGATTGCGGCATATGACTGTGTGTGTTTGTGTGTGTGTGTGTGTGTGTGTGTGTTTTCTCACCACCATAGCAGACATAATCTGTGGTGCAACGAGCCACAGAGCTTTAGAGCACGGCTCAGGTAACTGACAACAGGAAAGCAGCTTGATGATGATTACTGCAGATAGCACCTCCTGGGGGACAGCAAAGGGCGAGGGAGGGTGAGAAAACAGTATTTAATGTCACAGTAGACATAATTCATCATGAAAAAGAAAAGAAGAAGAAAATCTCTCTCCCATCAAGTAACAGAGCGCTTCATGTAAAATAACATCTCTAAAAATGTGATATTAGACTAAATGTAAACAATTTCTAGCACATTTAAACATTAAACAACAGAGGTGTACGAGATCTCAGGATTGAGCCTCACCCTGTGGTTTCCAGCCCTCAGCTTGCCAGTGTCCAGTCCCTCTTTGATCATCAGCAGCAGCACGTTGAACCGACCTGTGGTGCTTTTCTCCAGCAGGTGGCGCAGCAGCTCCTGCACAGCTGGCTCCAGCTCACATATATCGGTCGCAGAAAGCCAAGAAGCTGAAAGCAAAGAGAAAATGTGTTTCATGCAGGATAATGATGCGTAACTGAAATACAAAATTCCAGACTTCGATCGACAATGTCAGAGACGTTAATTCAACTGTGTAGATTTCTGGGGGGACGAAATTAAAGAAATTTACACCATAAATTCATGCAGAAAAAGCAAAAATTATTGCAATAAAAAAAATCCAAAGAATACATGAAATTAAGTGTTTGATGTCAACCATTTTCTTGTGGATGACCCCACAAACCCTTGTTTATAATCTGATGTCAATCCTTTTGGTACAATGCCAAAAACTAAGTGCTACATGATGAGACTTTTGGTTGATTTGCTTTTTTTTTGTTGTAAAATATTACATCTCATTTTAAAGAAAAACTCCACAAATAAATGACGCAAATGCTCATTATCTGAAACAGCTGGCAGGAAGTACACTAAATAAATCCACTGTAAACTTGTGTCAATATGTACAATATGCTGAGGTAATTAATGAAAGAAAAACACTGGCTGATTGCACAGGTGCATGACATGTTTGCTCTTCATGAGTGTCCGTGTACCTGTCAGCAGTCTGTGCACACTCTGCAGTATCTGCATGTACAGCTCATCCAGCTTCTCTGCTTCTTTTGTCTCCTCCTTCCTCTCTCCTCTCGTCTTCTCCACTGCTTTGTAGAAAGCGGACAGGAAATGGAGAGAGGAAACCATAAAGTCCAATGGCCGGTGGGCGAGACTAATTTCTTTGAGGATCTGCTGGCAGAAGCCCTGATAGAGGCTCATATGACTCAAGGTGAGCTGGGTGTCGTTCTGCTTGTCCTCATCCTCCACTGACAGTGAGGACAGCTCACAGCGCAGCATGACAGTGACAACTTCTACTACAAAGGCTTGACCAAGGATGCTGGCTGGTTGGATGGCTGACTGACTGGCAGTTTGGGGCTTTAGGACAGATTCGACAGCAGGTCCAAGTGAGGCGGTCGTTCTTCTGAGCATCTGAATCAAAGTTTGATCCATCGGTTTACTCCTCCCCAGGTTAGAGGTCATTGCCTGGGAGAAGGAGGTCAGCGATGCCAGCAGGAGATGAACAGACGAAATCGTCGCTCCTGGATCAGCAGCTGAATTGGGTGCCACAATATGCGTGCTTGCCATTTCCTTACTGGTAAGATAGGAGGCAAACTGGTCTAGGTTGAGTCGAACACTGCTGTTTCTGCTTATAATCAACTGGACCAAGGACTGGATGAATCCCTGCACTGCTTTGATTAAATCCGACCAATCAGAGCTGCTTGTGGCTTGAAAACGTCCATTGCTGCTGTGTAGGAGGAGAGAGGACACAGAGGCCTGCAGCAGAGTACCACCATGAATGAGCTTCAAGATACTTTGGAAGTTTCTACCCTCCAGGAGACAGGTCAGAATGCTGAGCAGCTTCACCAGAAAGAGAGCATCACCTTCAGATTCGGTCTGGTCTGACTGGCTGGAGGTGGAGGTCAGCGTGAAGAGGAGGAGGAGGAAAACAGAGGAGAGATCCTCAGAGTTCATCCCATCTGGGTTTAGCTTTGCTAAGATTTGGAGTAAGCTTACCAGCTCTTTGATCTGTGTGTCCGTCAGCAACACAGACACCTCTCCAGTCTTTGAGGAAGCCAATATGTCCTCAACTAGAGTCTCTTTTTTTACAAGTGTGGACAGAGGCTGACTGGCAACTCTCTCTAAAGCTCCAGTTCCTTTCTCCTGAAACTTGAGCAGTGTAGGACAAACCTTGGGTGCACGAGCTGTCTTGAGAACACCGATAATCCTTTGTGCGAGGGAACAAACTGTGGCAGAGAACAGCGAAAACAACTCAGAAAGAACGGGGCTTTGGAGAAGTTGAGAAGATATGAGAGAGACAGTCAGACAGCCTGGCGGCTGGTCCTTTCCTCCACCGGTCTGTCTGCTGAGGAGTGAACTGACAAGTACATCTACTACGCGGCCCACATCTTCTCCGCTCAGGTATGGAGCAATCAAAGGCAAATTGGATGTGACAAGGTACCAGTGTGCGACGAGGTAGGAGCTGGTGTTCACACTCGCTATCTGCCCGTCCCATACCTGCTCTCCATCAAAACTCACCTCCAACTCTGATTTAGCTAAAATATACTGGGCTGCCCTTTTCAGCAGTGCTGCGGTGCTGGGTTCAGAGAATAAGGTGGTGCCTAACAGAACTTTCTTCATCTGTTGCAAAGTGAGCAGTTTGAGCAGCAAACGGCTCATGGGGCTGCAGGATGACTGTAGACGTGCTGGGACAATCTCACCAGAGAGGACACTTTCCATATGGGTCAGGACTGGAGCACGGTCTTCAGTCTCACTTGCAGCTTCTGCCTGTGCCGAGTCAAGAGATGTGTATTTGCTGCAGTGAATGCTAAAAAGCGTGTCAACTTCCACCCAGGTGTATCTGAGCAGGAGAGCAGCCTCCTGAGTCTTCTGTTCCCACAGCGCTCCCATTTTAATCTCTGAGACCTTCTCTGAGTCTTTGCGGTCCAAGCTCTTTTTGCCTTTCTTTGTGGACTTTTGAAGTGAACTTGTACTTGCTTTTACAGCTTTCTTTTCTACTGACAACAGATGCAGTAACTCCTTGACTACCTTTTGCATCTCCTCCATCAGGCCTTGACTCTGCCTGACTATTGGAAGAGGAGAGGCATTGTCTAAAGTCTTCAGACTAAACAAAACAACATGAAGCAGCTGGCTGAGGGAGAAAAGCTTTCGAGATGCATCCTCTCTCTCTTGGTCCACCTTGATTTCTTTATTCTCCCCTTCATCATCTCCTCCCCCATCGATCTCCATCTTCTCTGCCTCCCTTTCCTCCTGCGCCAGGTCAGGTAGTATATATCTTTTGATGCTCTCCAACACAGATGAGCAGATCTCTAGGCTCTGAGAAGGGGGAGTATCCAGAAGGCAAGTGCTGAGCGAGGCAGAAACGCCCTCAGACAGCAGAGGAGGTCGGAGATCATCCAGTGCTGGCTGACAGATCACAGACAGGAGCTCAGAGAAGAAGCGAGGTAGCTGGCGGAGCTTGGTGTAAGTCTGGAGGAGGCTGCACACCATGAGCTGTTTGGAAACAAACATTTTGTCTCAGTTAAAAATAATCTCTTACACATTTTATCATTTTAAATTATGCATTTGTGCATATTTTATTCTGTTGGGAGTTTGTTTGGACAATACATAATTTAGGATTTAAATCAAGACCTGTCGGGCCCGTTGGACACGCGCTTCCATGCATTCAGAGTTAACCCAGGCTGAGGAAAACAGCTGGTCCAGGTCTGGTTCAAGGATCACATGGTTGAGACTCAACAGCACCTTTAAGCAGCGGTACCATGCTGGGATGCTGAAGGACATGACAGGAAAAGTGTTCACGGTATGACCAGGAAAAAGGTTACAAGAAAAGCACTGACATCTTCTGGATGTAAAAAAAGAGACAATGAAAAATACATCAAAGGGTGTTTTTTTTTACCTTGGCTGGGCCTGGTTGAAGAGCATTTGTCCCAGAGCTCTGTAAAACTGGAGTTGGACCTCTTCATGCCTGATCCTGTCTGCTGCTACATTGTAAATATCAGCCGACAGAGCCTGGCTTAGCAGTGACTCTATAGCCAGCAGAGCCAGGCTCCAGCTCTCTGGGGAACAGAGGGAGGCTGGAGGAGACTCCTGCTCTGGGGACTCAGGGACAGGCTGGTCTGCTTTGGAAGGTGAGAGTGAGTGTCCCTCGAGACATACGTCCAAGACTGGGACCAATCTGGTGAGGAAATAGAAACACAGCATCCTGTGCGCCTCCTCACTTTCTCCTCTCCCTTTCCCATAGCTCTCCAGGAAGAACTTAAACAGCAGAGACACTGTGTTTGACTTCACAGCGTAGTGTAAGGGCGGCTCACAGTAGCCCTGAGCACTCAGTTTGGACAGTATGGCACTGACTGGCTTTAAGGGGCCTTTTGCCCCCCCAGAACCACGTTTCCCAGATTCCTCTTTAGAGGGAAGGAGCTCCTCCTTGTAGGAGGTGAGGTGCTCAGAGGGGAAGAGAGCTAACTGAAGGATGGAGTCTATCTTGATGCGGATGTCTCTAAACAGCTGCTGACGGAGGCACAGGTGTGTGTGAGAGGGTGCAAACTCCCCAGAGGTCAGCAGGTGTCTGAGCAGTACTAATGGCTGGATCAGCTGGTTGGTTACCATGGTGAAGACTCTGTTAGGATTGGCTTGTTGTCGTTGAACTGACAAATAACACGAAAGCCCCTGAAGTAACACCTCAAACAAATTAGCTGCACGGAGGTTTTCCTTTGGCTTTGGAGGGGATTTATTAGCATCTAAATCTGACTGATCAAGAGGACCTTTAGGGATCTCCTCATTTTGTGATTTGTCCAAATCGCTAATAGGCTGATTTTGAAGACACTCAGTCATCACCTCATCTTGACATGTGACAGATTCAGTCATTACAGGCTCTTTGAGCAATGGCCGTTGTAGCTCACGACAGGCCAGAGAGCAAAGCTTAACTAGGAGATCGACCATGAGTTCATACTTGGTGGTGAAGACAGATGAGAGTGCAGGAGAGGAGAGAAGGCCCTGACACACACTCAATATGGTGGACACACACACCGGAGACTTAGAGCCAGCATGAGCACACTCCTGAAGACGGTCAAGCAGCAGCTAGAAGCGAACAGAGAAAAGACGCGTCAGTAAAACCTTCATATATCAATGTAAACACATCCTCTTTGTGTAGTATGTATACACTACAGGTAAAGCCAATATGAGATTATGCATCAGACACTCTAAAAAAGAAGAATAAAAACAGTGTTTTTGCATTACAAACACCACTCTAGACCAGTATTACCAGCACACCTGTGCCATGTTGAGCCTCAGGCTGACAGTCTTGCCCTGCTTGAGAAGCGAGTGGAGCTTCCGGCTGTGAAGCAGATCGTCAAGGTAACACCACAGCCCTTCCAGAACATTCTGAGAAAACTCCACCTTCTGATTATAGCGGCCTGTCAGAGCGTGGGTGCACCAGTCCAACAGCACCTACAGCGGAAAAGAGTCAAGACAGACATGTACGAATAGATGGGAGACATTTATATGCTACTTTTACATTCATTTAAAAGGTCCAGTGTGCAGGATTTAGGGGGATATATTGGCAGAAATGGAATATATTATAATATAACGAGAATGTTTCCTTTAGCATATGATCATCTGAAAATAAGAATCGTCATGTTTTTGTTATCTTAGAAAGAGCTATTTATATCTACAAAGGAAGTGGGTCCACGTCCATGGAGTATGCCACGTTGCACTGCTGTGTTTCTACAGTAGCCCAGAACAGAAAAACCAAACAGTGATTCTAGATAGCGCATTTGCATTTTCGCGTCAGCCACCATAGCAAGTAGCCCCTCTGTGGTGAGCAGCATCGGAAACACTATTTTTTTTTTTTACCGTGAAACTGCTTTATTCGGTGTTTTTAACCAATCTAAATCACTGGGTTTATTTGTTTTGGAGAGGAAAAGACCTCTGTGGATAATTCAGCTCCTGGTAAAAACGTCCTGAACGTCTGGAGTTATCAGAGAAAAAAGGTGAGCACACATTAGCAGGTGCTTGGCTAGTGGCCTGTCTCCGGCAAGCCATACAGCATCACTGACTTGTAATGTGAAACTGCTTTATTCAGTGTTTTTACAAGTTTTAATCACCTGGTCCTTTTGTTTTGGAGAGGAAGCGACTTCTGTGGATAATTCGAAACCTCCTGAGCAATTAACACCCCAAGACTCCTAACTATGAGTTCACACTTGGCACACTGGATAAGTTTCAGCCAGCTCCAACACACTGTTCCTTGAACTAATCAACAAGACTATTGTCTGTAATTTAAAAGTAGTCAATGGTATCCATCTTCATATAAAATGCATTACTGACTTGGTTTATAAAATGAAACTTTTTCACCTCAGAAAAAAACTGGAATAGGTACTTCTCATACTGAAAACAGACAACTACTCAGAGTTCTCCACTTCATCTGTTACCTGTTCCTTGTTGGGCAGAAGGCACTGAGCAGAGATCCAGGCAAAACGTGCCAGCTTTAACTTGTCCTCCCACGGAGTCTGAGGACTCTTCAGTTTCAGGTGGATGCCTGAGTAAATGGCAGCCATCGCTGCAGCCGGAGCTTCTGCTGCACAGGCCTGAGGAGAGGGGATGGAGATGAGGAGTCAAGGTCAGAGGGAAGGAACACAACACATAGGGCAAAGATGCAGGGGTGATTAAGCATAAAGTTAATTTAACAGTAATAAACTACATGAGTATTAGGTACTCCTTATGAAGAGGGTAAGGAAATCTATATTTATATGACCATAGAAACCAAAACAGTAAAGAATCCACATTCACCACACATAAAACCACAAGCAAGTTCAAGAAAAGAGACTATATAATAGAATACAAAATATATATATATTGTCCGCCAGGGGTGGAAATTTGTCTTCGGCTCACCAGACACAAGTGTAAAACATAGTAAAAAGCAGACAGTCAGTAAAACTAACATACAAGGTCATTACAAAACACTTAACACATTAAATCAGCTCCTTGTCTGCCTGTGGTTTAAAACTCATCAGTCACTTTGTTGAGTTAAGGATAAAAATGGCACATAAGATGAAAGACTTCTTAAATACAAGTTTAGTTGTCAGACAGAGTCTATAGCACTTCCTGCAGCTCACGAGCTCAAACTGGCTGAAGAGAGGATGGGAGCTATCTGCTAGGATTCTCCTTTGCTTTCTTCCTAGCCTTACTGTAAAGAGTTGGGTCAGGGGCTTTTGTGGCTTGCCTACTATTTCATTTGTCAATATCACAACCCTAGGAAGTTTATTCTTAATGTACTGTTGAGACGACAGTGCCAGGCAGAGAGATGAAAAGTTAAAAAACTCTAAAGGACACATGCATGACATAATGAAGCCTGAGAAAATAGAAAACTAGTGACAGGTGGTCATCAGACAGTTTATTCCAACCAAAACAACCAACAGCAGATATATATTCTTGATATAGTAACACATCTATCTCGTTGGCAACCCTGAGACCCACAAATACGACCAGATCTCAAAACATTTTCAACAAGAGACTGATAAAAGTCAAACGCAAAGGTTTAAGATTTTTTTCATTTTCAGGTCTGTTCAAGCCTGGCTCAATCAGTTAACGTTAGCTAGCTAACGTCAGCTAGCTACATAGCATGTTCTTGCTAACAGTATTAGCTTATATGAAGCAGCTTCTCGTCCTGACGTATGCTAATCATCACTAAGCTTTGATGCTCCTTGTTTTAGGATAATTACATGCACTCATGTCAGCTTGGTTAATCACACTTACGACTTTTTAACCTGCACGTGTCTCCTGTTATCAGACGTCGTGAACTTTCAACTTTCACCCTGCCGGCCAGGCAGAAGCAATCGAGAGTCGATTTGATGTAACGGTGTAACGGTGGCTCAGCAAAAAACTCTTTTTCTTATCTCTCAGCGCAGATCCTGGTCGAAAATATGACATTTAATGGACGTTTTTCTGATGATTATAACTTCTGTTAACTTAAGAGTAAATGAACACGAAATTCGTCGAGAAACCGGTTCGTCGAAAATATAATTTGGCTAATATCCCATGTCACCATATTGTTATACAATATACAACAGTCTCTATAAACGATTAAAAAAAACAACAGTATCTCTCGTTTCTCTGGGTACAAATTTAATAATAGATTTTACTTTAAACTTTTCACAACTCATTCACACGTAGGGGCCGTTCTCTACTTATCAGAGAAAGGGGTGGCTGGAGTGTGACTTTGTTTTTGTTTTTTAAGTCCACCCCAAAGCTACAGATATTTTTCCATGAGCCACTGAGTAACTGGCAGGAAATGCATCACCCTCTCTCCAACTTTAGTCCATTTTAGATCTTTAAAACATACAATTTGATGTTTGAAAGTTAAATTATAAGTTGAAGATGAAATCCTGAAGCTGAAAAAAGCCTTGGTTTTTCACTCATGCATGCTGGTTAGTGCAAACTGTTTTTATGGCCAAAGTTTGAGAGACATAAAATAAAGTGGTCCTGATGAAATATCACCATTGACCTCTGAGCTTGTTTGTTTTCCTGATAGAAATGTTCATTGCACGTGTCCAAGAAATTTGAAATTTAACAATTATGTTTTTACACATTGTGGCTACGATAAAATGGTGTAATTTTGTCATTTGAAAAAAAGACTTCAGACTTTTTGCCTCTATTAAAAAGGACAGCTGGATAGAGAAGGGATTATAATACCCCTACTGCAATACTTGCAGTGGTCTGCAGATGCAGTTTGACATCTGGTAATGTAAAGACAAAAGACAACACGCTTTTAAAAAGGATTAAAACACAATTTTATTTAAACATTTTAAAATCAGATCATCTCTTGCTGGGGAGTGGTCAGTTATTTACTCGCGAAGGGGGAGGAGGAGAGCAGGCCAAGGTCAACTTTTACTGCATGTTGGTTGCTTCTGTAGTTGTTCTTCACTGTCACACGTACCTGTTACTTGATGGCTGACTTCAGCCTGCTGCCATACACTAGGCCGGCATCACTCGTCGGCCTTTCTGGAGGTGCAACTCGGCCTTAAGGCTACGGCATGATGGGGAGACCTTGGCCTGAACATTCACGTGGTTAACTTCACGTGTAACACAACGGTAAAAGCCTGTTCACTTAAACGTGCACATACCTGCAGATTAGAAGCACAGAGAGAATGAGAATGAGAGAGAGAGAGAGAGAGAGAGAGAGAGAGAGAGAGAGCAGTGTTTGCAGCCTGCAGCTTAAATACCCCAGGGAGTGAAGCACCTGAATCACACCTGTCCTCAATCAGTAACCACCCCACAGCCATTGGCTCACAGCAAGTGAAGTCCCTCCCTCCACCCACACATACACACACACACCCAATCCCAAATGGATCCCTTACAGACTCGTTGACTCAATCCATAAGCCCTTACAGACCTAGGACCAATTCCATTTCTTCCCCTTAGCCCTCGTCTTGGCCCTTCCCCTGGTTTTGCGTGTTCCATTGAAGAAATGGAATTGGTCCTAGGTCTGTAAGGGCTTAGGACTTGAGTCAATGAGTCTGTAAGGGATCCATTTGGGACTGGGGGACAGACAACACCACTGCACACACAAACCACACCTAATCAGTGCCACTAGACTAAAGGTCAGATAAGATAAAGGTGCCAATACAGTCTACCCTGTTACAGGATGACATGCAGCAAAGGGCTGCAGATTGGATTCGAACCCCAGCCGCTGCAAAGAACTCACCCTATGTGGGGCACACAATCTACCTTTTGGGCTTGATGTTGCTCCATTTAGGCCCCAATCATACAGATGGCGTTTCCTCGGAAGGGTGGCTGGGCTCAGCCTTAGAGATATCTGGAGGGAACTTGGAGTAGAGCCACTGCTTGTTCGTGTCGAAAGGGGTCAGTTGAGGTGGTTTGGGCATCTGATCAGGATGCCTCCTGGGTGCCTCCTGCTGGAGGTGTTTCAGGCACGTCCCACTGGTCGGAGGCCGCGGGGCAGACCCAGAACACACTAGAGGTATTACAAGTCTCATCTGGCCTGGGAATGCCATGGGGTCCCCCAGGAGGAGCTGGAAAGTGTTGCTGGGGAGAGGGATGTCTGAGGTGCTTTGCTCAACCTGCTGCCCCTGTTACCCAGCCTCGGATAAACAGATGAAAATGAATGGACGGATGGATGGAAAACGCTTTCTGTGTGTTCGGCGATTTTTAAAGAAAACATGGCTTACAAACCCTGTGGGATTGAAAGGCATGTTTTCTTTAAAAATCATCTGTAAAATAAATACAAAATACAACCATTTAAATTTGTATGTCCCTCCCCTAAGCCAAAATAAAAAACATATATCCCTCCTGGGTGCGTAAAAAAAAAATTTGACATGCTTCCTCCTCTTTGCACCATCCCCTCCAGCCCCTCACGAGTAAGGAACAGTCCCTTAAGGCTTGGTATAGACGATCTGGGTTTGCTTGGTTTTGTCTGGGAAAGTTTGCATGTATCATCAGCCATTGAATTCACCGAGGAGGCGGAGGAGGAGGAATGGTACGTGTGTAGTACATAAGAACCAAACCAGGGTCACCTTTCGTGTTTCCACCCTGTTAAACTCTCTCCAGGTAAATAAGTTGCAGTTCTCACGGTGCGTTTGAGGTCAGTCGGTCTCCGGTAGCTTGTGTTTACACTTCACCCGCCTGTCAGGCAGATATTGAGCCGCGACAGATGACAGTGACAGGCTGGGTGTTGTTAACTGCTCGGTGATAAGAGATAAACGGGGTGACGGCGGCTGTCAGGCGCAGATAAAACGGACAATTAACGGTCTAAACTCGACAATGTGGCGGCAAGAAGCTCCACAACTGCTCGGCTGTGGATACGGTGTGAAGACCTAACGGCTGGGGGGCTAAACATGTTTACACGAGTGGATTTACTCAGCAAGAAACACCTCGACACCATCAGTTACTGACTCTGACTGACCACCGAGGAACATACTTGTATCTCTTTTGCCTTTTGTTAAGCTAATATCAACACAACTCGGACAATGCGGCTTTTTATTCGCATGTCAAGGTGCTCGCATGGAGTTCACCTGTCCAAGCTGAAGCTAACGCAGCAGAGGATGTTATGGCTGCAGCACCGGCTCACTCCTTCCGCTGCCCTCCGGAGGAAGAGACAGTCAACCGGGGTCAAGTCATCCCTCCACCCGACCCTCTCCTTCCCTCTGTCCTCACCCTGTGTCTCTGTCCTGCCCTGCAGTCCACTCAGAGGTCTCTCCATACTCTGCTCACACACACCGACAGTACGGACAGTCATACACACACCTGTTGCCTTTGCCAGCTCTTCAGCTGCCTCCACACCCACACCTGCCGGGTCAGTGAAGACCCAGACAGATACGGAGAGAGACCAGACACCCATCACGGTCCCCCCGCGGGAGGATGTTAAGAGGATACTACGACTGGCTCACCCTGAGAGATGGAGATTGGCAGGTGTGTATACTGAGAGTCCCCTTGCCTCAACATATCCATGACCAAAGAAGGTCTATCCATCCACAACACATCTCCAGTGGTCACTGACCCACCAGTTTTTGGACTAGCCTTTAGGTACTTCCCTTACAAGAGAATAAAAAGGTGTATTGTTAAAAAGCTTTCACTTTACTTATTATGATGTTTTTTTATTATAGGAAATAGTGAAGGTTAAAGCACACTGACTCAGAGCTCTCAAAACTTTATTGGGCTGCCATGAAGAGGATATACTCTATAGTACACACACTGTGGTCAGTCCAATGAAGATTTTATCCACTGTGCAGATGCTCTCTTATCTTTTCCTTCCTTCACTGGATGTGATAGCCTGCGCCCCGCCTAAATTTAGAAGGGAATCTGCACGTAGCCATGTTTCCGCAGCATCATTCTCCATTACAACACCAGAGGAATACTTTGATTACAGTTGTTGTCTCCCGTGTATGAGGAAGTGCAAAACCACAGCAGCATGAAATAAAAGTATAAGCAAAAGAGAAATGAAATTGAAAAAGAAATGAAAAAAGAAATTTTTCTAATCAGTAGCAACAGGAAGCCTCACTGTATCCTGCCTTGAGGACAGTAGCATTATTTGAACCCTCTGAGTCCCTCCCATATGATTCTTTGAAGGCTGTGACTTGAATCGTACCCTGAGGTGACCTTGCTTGGAGACAGGTTCCCCAGATAAGAAACTTTCATATCAAGTCAAATCATGTCTGTCATGTATGTCTGCTCTTGGCTGTTTGTGATGTTTATCTGGACAGCACTGTGAAAGTATTCACGCTGTGTTTTACCACATACCATGTTAAGTTGCTGTACTATATTACTAAACTACTACACATTATACTGTGTCTCATATCCCATTCTATATCACCATATACGTATATGTTACATTGAGTCTTGCACCATAGTCTATCATACTAATAGAAACTTTGAGTACTTTGGCGGCATGGTGGTGCAGTGGTTAGCATTGTAGGCTCACAGCAAGAAGCCTCAGGGTACCCAGGGTAGGAGGTTTGAACTCCCATGTCAGCGTGGGTTTTCTCCAGGTACTCTGGCTTCCTCCCATAATAACTGGTGACTCTAAATTGCCCGTAGGTGTGAATGGTTGTCTGTCTCTATGTGTCAGCCCTGTGATAGTCTGGCGACCTGTCCAGGGTGTACCCTGCCTCTTGCCCAATGTCAGCTGGCTATGTTCCATGGATAGGTTTCAGTCCCCCCATGACCCCCAATGGGATAAGTAGCTACAAAAAATGAATGAAAGAACGACCTTTGAGTACATAGACCTTTTGATTCTGCTGCCATTAAACACACCACTGTCCCTTTCTATTCTTATTTTAGTTCATGTACTCATTATTTTTCTCTGTTACTTTCTATTCTTATCTGCACTTATTTATGTCCTTGTGTTGCTGCAACAACTGAATTTCCCTCCTGGATAACCCCTTCAGAATATAGAGTTAAAACATCCTTTCATAAATTGTAGCCATGGGTTTTGCTTTCTACAATAATTTGGTTTAGATTAAGTTTTCTGTCTTTTCCTGTCTCTGCTTCAGCTGCCGTGGGCTTCCTGACTGTCTCCAGTGCAGTAACGATGTCAGCTCCCTTCTTCCTGGGTAAAGTGATTGACACCATTTACACTACTGGAGCAGACACAGAGACGATGACAGCCTCCCTGACATCATTATGTATCATGCTGACGGGAGTGTTCCTGTGTGGCGGGGCAGCCAATGCCGCCAGAGTCTACCTCATGCAGACCTCGGGTGAGACGAAGAGAGGGATCAATACTCTATACACAATATATATAGCCGATACAAACTCACTGATGTCTATATTTATGTGTGTGTGTGTGTATATATATATATATATATATATATATACATATATGTGTGTGTGTGTATTTATCCTGGTCTTCATCTTTGTATTCACTATTCAGGAAAGTATAGGAAACAATAACTTTCAGTGTCTTATATTTCATTACCACTTTGATATCTGTGTTAAATATGGAGCCACAGCCAGGAGATGCTTATCTTAGCTTAGCATAAATATTATAATCAGGGGAAACAGCCAGCCTGGCTCTGTCCAAAGTTAAAAAAAATATATACTCCTACGAACACCTCGAAAGCTCACTAATTAACACGATCTATCATGTCTGTTTAATCTGTACACAAGCAGCAACCAGTTATGGCTGTTATTACTTCTTGGCGACCAGCAGCCAGGCACAGGCATTTCCTGGCAACCTTACAGAGATAATATTCCTGTTTGTGTACAGATTAAACCCGCAAGATGTTATCTGTGAGCTTCAGAGATGCACATCAGGCTTATTGTTAAACTTTGGACAAAGTCAGGCTGACTGTTTCCCCCTGTTTCCAGTCTTTGTGCTAAACTAGGCTAAGTGCCTGCCAACTCTAGCCCTTTGCTTTCTGGTTGCTCTCACCTGTAATTCCACGCCCCATTTTCATGTATAGACATGAGAGTGATATTAATCTTCTTATCTAACTTTCAGTGAGAACAGGAATAACCTTATTTCCCAGAAAGTTGAACCACTCCTTTAGTTAATTATTGTCTTTTTTTTTTTCAATCAATTGATTGACTTTACAATATGCCAAATATAATGAGAAATACCCATCATAACTTAACAGAGCCTGAAGTTGAAAAAAATGTCATTTTATATGTGCAACTATCCACATTTGTGAAGCTGTAACCAACCACACTTTGTATTTTTATTGAATGATGGCCTGGGATGATTGATGACTTAGCAGAAATGGAGTTGATTCAGTTTGTGATGATTGACTTTTCTCTATTGTCCTCACTGATATCATTTCTCTCTTTAGGCCAACAGATTGTTCGTGATCTCCGTGCCTCTGTCTTCTCCTCCATCCTCAGACAGGAAGTGGCATTTTTTGACAGGAATAGCACCGGAGAGCTTATCAACCGCCTCTCTGCTGACACCGCCGTGGTGGGCCGCTCCATCACTGACAACCTATCAGACGGACTGAGAGCCCTCGCCCAGGCAATTGCTGGTGTCAGTATGATGGTGAGTACGTCTCTCTGAGTGCTCCACTGTGGTTGGCCAGGACAGGTTTGAATGAGGAGTCAATAGGTCTCCTTTGTGATATAGTAATATTGTGGAATAAAAGTGCTAGGTTAGGTTGTATTACTGATGTGTCTGAAATACTTTTAGATGTAAAGGGACAGTCCACATCAAAATCAAAATACATACATTTTCCTCTTACCTGTAGTGCTGTTTATCAATCTAGACTGCTTTGCTGAGAGGCAGAGTCTTGGAGATATATGATTTTAGGTTGAACTGTCCCTTTAACATAATTACTGCAATATAAGGACACACTCACTGTCAGTCTGACTTTAGAAACACCACAGTGAGAGTGAGGTGTTTGCCTGTGCAGTCTTTTGTTGTTCAGTACGAGGAAGTCGTTGTGATTTTCTTGACGTCTTTTGTTTGTGTCTTTTCTGCTGTGTTGTTGGTATGTTAGCTGCACATTACTGTTTAAAGACTGCAGGACTGTTGGGAAACAGGTTTATATATATGCTTCCTGTCAATCCAAGGAAAAGGATAGATTGTGTTGTTTAACTGCCACACCCGCAGGTATAAGCACTGTGTGTGTGGAGGTCACTCATATACAGTATTGACCAACAGGTGGTTGAACTGATAGTTACTTGGTGAGCTATTAATCTAAAGTATGCTTATCTGATATTCAGTCACTAGTCTCAACTTTTTCGTATCTGCAAACTTCTTTCGAACAGTTACAGAAAATCATAAAACATAATGGACGCTCTCAACAAACAAGTTGTTCTTAGAAGGAAGTAAAATGATTTCCTGGTGTAATGACTGTACAAGGAAATAGGTGGAAGTAATTGCTGATCAGTAACTGATTTGGTGTGAACATTTTTCTGTCTTCCTCCTCTACACCCTTCCTCTCTCTCCTTTCTTTTGACACCTTTTATTTCTATTGACGGGTGTTTTTTTTCCTCCTCTTTGTCCTCTTGTAGATCTATGTCTCCCCCAGTCTTGCGGGCTTTGTGTTGCTCATTGTTCCTCCAGTGGCTGGCCTCGCTGTACTCTACGGCAAATACCTTCGCTCCATCTCCAAATCCACACAGGACGCACTTGCACAAGCCACACAGGTACAGCACACAGAAACACGCAGATCAAAGAATAGGCTGAAACTTAGCTGCCAGGTATGGTGGAATATGAAGGAGTTAAATGGTTGGAAAAATGCGTATTAGCTTTTTGATATTTCTTTGTTTTGTAAGCACATGAGTGGTGTCACCAGATGTTCAGCAGCAGGGATCAATAAGACATTATTTGAGGATGTGGTAATTAAAAACAGGAAGTAGTGACAAAATGTAATTGCAAATTTGCAGTAGTGTTTGTGTACCCCTTAGTTTCTAATATAAATGCTGCACTGCCTGCATTAGCTTAATTAAATTCACAGATAGAGTAAATTTACAATGTTGATAATCAAGATAAAGTTGTAATAAAATGGATTGCATGTGTGTGTGTGTGTGTGTGTGTGTGTGTGTGTGTAGTTGGCAGAGGAGCGCATCAGCAACATACGGACGGTCAGAGCTTTTGGTAAAGAGCTGTCAGAGGTCAACAAATACACACAGAAGACAGACCAGGTCCTCAGCCTGGCCAGGAAGGAGGCTGTACTACGAGCCGGCTTCTTTGGAGTGGTAAGTCTGTGTATGCGTGCGTGTGTGGGTGCGTGCGTGCGTGCGTGCGTGCGTGCGTGCGTGTCCTACCAGTGAAGCAAACCAAACCACAGTTAGGAAATAAAACATTGCAAAGAGGCTTCCGCTTTTTTGCCCCTGTATTTCAAGTTTGTTGAATCACCACAGCACCTGCAATGTCAGAACATGATGTATGTTTCACCATAAAAAAGTATACCCTTACATGGTCAGAGAGTAAAAGGTTAAGATTGTGTTGAAACAACTCACAACTTGGCTTATGGCTCTTGAACAGGTTTTTCTCTTTATGTCTCCTCTTTATTTCTTTAACACTTGGGCGATATTTGCATTTTGCATATCGATGAAATTAAGCTTTAATTGTTCACCCTGATTTACGTTAGTGATGGTACACAGAATATATGAAACCCATTAGAATATAATAAGTCATCAGCACCACATGCTACAACCTTCAGAATGACCATAAAAATTAATTAACACCTATCTAAAACTCTATAAACAAACACATAATTTTATGGCTTTTGAATTAGATCTTGCTCTGTCTCTAAACTCTAAAGCTCTTTGAGAATCTCTCAACTGATCATTATTGAATGTATTGTCCTCTCTGTCTGTCTTCACTGTTGCATCATCAGGTATCTTGTTAGGGGCGGGAATCTCAAGACATCCCACATTTTGATTCTGATTCAGAGGGCTAAGATGTGAAGATAAAATGATTATCAATGCAGAAGAGTAGTAACAAATGGAAGCCTAGCTTAGCCTAGCTTAGAATGTAAACACAACGCACCTGTTAACATCCATTATGTTTCACCATCCATTTCGGTTAGCTGTCAGAAACATACAGTCCAGTCTTCAGAAACTGTCACAGACATGGATGTATTGAGAGAACTGGAAACAGCATTAAAGGCGAGGTCCCTTTAATCCCTATGAAAGTTGCTCAGTGGCGCATTAAGCCAAAAACGTTCGACGCCCCTGGTATAAAATTACCTGAACTTCCGCATCATTGGGCCCATAGAGCAGACACACTAAAGACTTTCACCGGCTGAGCTGCTAACCTCTGGTTAGAAGGGGGTTAAAATAATTCAATCATGTGGCTCTTCTAGACTTCAGAGATGTTGTCGGACCAAATGGTTGAAATCCTGACAGTGAAACGAGTCATTTCGTGGGGGTTGTGAGGCTCACGAAATTGTATCCACTGATTTACAGAGGTCTCTTTCATGATGTAAGTCTATGGGAAAAAGTCATTTTGGGCCCAGTGGCATCACATGACGGACTGGAAGATATAATTCCTCGGTTCAGTCACTATGTCAAATTGGCTTCAGAGCCTGGTGCTGTTCCTGGGGGCTTGGTCACAGGTGATCATAATTTAAGGGTCAGTTGGGTTTTAAATGTAATATTATTGACCTCTCTGCATTGAGAATAATATTTCAAGAGAGAATAACTATACAAATATGTTTCTCCCCCCACCTGTAATATCAGTATGTGAATGTACGTCATTCTCCTTGCGTCTCCTCCCTCTAGACTGTTTCCCTAAATTGAATATTATCAGGTAAAATAATATTCTCCATGCTCAGTAAACTGCAGTTCAGAAACCAAAAGAGAGGGTCCAGTTAGCTGAAACATTAGCCTGTCAGATGGGCTGTATAATCAGTGATGCCAGATGTAGGAGTAATCAAATAACCCAGTGTGTGTGTGTGTGTGTGTGTGTGTGTGTGTGCCAGACTGGTCTCAGTGGTAACATCATGATCCTGTCAGTGCTGTACAAAGGAGGCCTCCTAATGGCCAGCCAGCACATGACCGTGGGAGAGCTCTCATCGTTCCTCATGTACACTTTCTGGGTGGGCATCAGTGTTGCAGGTAAGACACCAACATGTGCACATGTACTCTATTATTATGTGAATCTCCTGTACTGTATTGTTTACGTCAGTATGGTGTGTGTGTGTGTGTGTGTGTGTGTGTGTGTGTGTGTGGTGACTTCTGTTTGATGTGTAGGTCTGAGTTCATTCTACTCTGAGCTGATGAAGGGTCTTGGAGCAGGAGGCAGACTGTGGGAGCTGCTGGACAGGAAGCCAGAGTTTCCTCTAAATGGTCAGTACACACACACACACACACACACACACACACACACAAAGGAGAGTATTACTCCACTGCATCAATGAGTTTTTTATATGTCCTGAAAACTAACTAAAACTAAGTGTTTCAGAATTGTTAAAAAGATTGTCTTTATAGTCTCAGCCTTCTCTCTGTGTAACTAGATGTATATTCACTGTTGGACATTTTATCTCTAACTATATACAGTATAACAGGTTTCAAAGACTCACTGCTTGCTCTGTCATTGCAAAACAGGTTAACAGGGGTAAAACAGAGGTATTTTTGCCCAAGTAGTTAATAAACACTGTGTACAATTTACATTTTAAGATGTAGTCAATTAATCTAGCACTGTTTTTGCTTTACTCCCTTGATCATTTATTTTATTTTTCCTCATATACTGTGTTAAACCACTCGAGCAAGTTAAACGTGTGCTCTGCAGGAATTGTTGGATAGTGAAAGTAAAAGCCAACCCCAGCTGTGCTCACTTGGCATTTCGTCTCACTATATTTGCATTTGTTTTGCTGCTGTGTCTGTGATTTTCATAGCGCCCTCTTTGATGCGTGCTGCTTACAGTCTGGAATCTGGTCCCCTACGTCACCTGCGCACTGTGCCCAGGAATGTCCCAAACAAAACAAAGTAGGATAAGAAGCAAAGACAATAGGAAAAACAGACAGAAGACAGTGTCTCACACACTTCTAGCGGGTCATGACCTGCAGTTACCGCTTATAGCCATAGGTGTTGCCAAAGAGACTGAAATGGAGATTGTAACTTTAATAATGGTTTTATCTTGGTGTCCCTCCTCCTCTGCTCCTCCACAGAAGGTCTCATGCTTCCTCCAGAACAGCTGAAGGGTCGATTGGAGTTCTCTGATGTGTCCTTTGCCTATCCGGCCCGTCATGAGGCTCCCATTTTCCAGAACCTCAATCTATTGGTTCCAGCTGGCACCATCATGGCCGTGGTGGGACCCAGCGGCTCTGGAAAATCAACCCTGGTCTCACTACTGCTCAGGCTGTACAACTGTGACGCTGGTAAGAGAACGATTGTTCTGTTCTGACAGTTTCAAAAATCTGTGATGACAAACGTAGCAACACAAGCCTCCATCAGATGGCTGTTTAACCTCTGAGAATGACCTTGTTTCTCCAGGTATCATCACTATAGATGGTCATGACATCAAAGATCTGAATCCCTATTGGCTCAGGAGTCACATTGGGACTGTCAGCCAGGTAATAAATTATTCTCTAACTCGTTTGTTTTCCTGTAAAACCCACAACACACACATCATCTGTACGTAGCCAAAAAACATTGAGAGCCTTGAGAAGATTGACGATTGATTGAAGATTGTTTTTCTCACATTTGTCATCTCCTCTTCCCACCTCTCTCCCAGGAGCCTGTGCTGTTTTCTTGCTCCATCAGAGAAAACATTGCGTACGGTGCAGTGGACCCAGACGCTGTGACCACAGAGGACATCTACAGGGCAGCCAGATTAGCCAACGCCTTTAATTTCGTCCAGTCTTTTCCTAAGGGCTTTGACACTGTAGTGGGGGAGAAAGGAGTGCTGTTGTCAGGTGAGAAGCAGAGCTAGAGACACAACAGGGTCATCATCACAACATCCACTGCACTGTTAATCTCTGCAAACACATATCTGCACGTATGCACAGCTGATGGGTTCTGATATTGCTGCTCTGTTGATGCATGGAAGCAGTCAGCAGGGTCGATGATACTGAGATAGATATTTGTTCCATAGATAAGATAAGAAAACTTTATTGTTCATTACATTGCATGAAATGGAAATTTGCTTTTGCCACTCTGGCAACACTGTAAAACAGACAGGGGTTAGTTGAGGTAGTTCGGGGATCTGATCAGGATGCCTCCTGGGCACCTCCCGTTAGAGGTGTTCAGGGCACGTCCCACTGGTAGGAGGAGCTGGAAAACGTTGCTTGGGAGAGGGACGTCTGGGGTGCTTTGCTTGGCCTGCTGCCCCCACGACCCAGCCTTGGATAAGCGGATGAAGATGGATGGATGGATTAAAAAAAACAAACTTTTTGATTTACATTTCAGAAAGACAGCACTGCTTAAAGTTTCCAAGTCTTTCTAACTCTGACTCTTTCACAAGTATTTGTATTTAATGTGTATTCATATCTTGTCACACAGTAGAATTATGGCCAATTATTATTTTTTATTTACTTTATGAAATGCTTTATTACTCTATTAAAGGGATACTTTGGCTCTTGGGCTGTTGCTCAAACTACAGATTGTACCTCTGCATTTTCATATGCCCGCCACTGCAGACACATAGAATGTAGAAGTGAATTGAGAAAGCCCCCCTCAATTTAAAACAAGGTTCTGCAACTGCACTGCCTATTTCTCATCTAAAACGTCTTCAGAGACATATTTTAGTGCACTGTTTGGTTGTAATGCGAGAATTTGTGAACAGGAATTGGATCCTGTTTCCTGTATTGTTGTAACAGAGGCTTAAAATACTGAGATCAAATGGTAAAACTAAGCAGTGCTGATGAATTATGAAACATGATTCTGTTACTGCGTTGCCTGTTTCTTGCCTCAAATGTTTTCAGATTTTCAGAAACACATTTTAGCTTACTGTTTAACTGTACCTCAAGATTGTTTGTTACCAGTCTGTCACCATATTGTTTCCTGTGTCAAAATGGACAAGCTTGCTTTACATCATCCACCAGCGAGAGCGTTTATTGGTTTGGTGTGGCATAGTGCATTCTGGTAGTTGTAGGTTTTCTACCTCTTGAGCAACAGCGAACGCCACAGTCCTTTACCTCTGTTTACTGTGGTCATGTAGCACCAATTTCAAGAGTTCTGCACCTTTCTACTGCATAGACAGCCCAGTTTTATGAAAAGACCATTTTCCAGCAGTGAAATACTTCTTAAACTATCATGGCTCCATGTATACAGTACACATAAGGCATATTTAGATGCAGCCTTTATGTGTATACATGGTTAACTTGTGTGTTTGTTTCTCAGGTGGTCAGAAGCAGAGGATAGCCATAGCCAGAGCTCTGCTCAAGGTGAGTACAGCAACATGCTTGTTTGTTTTACTGTTCATCCACAGCAGAAGAAAGCACAACTCCGATCATATCTGCTATCTGCAGATAACATTTGTTCACATTGAATCAGAATCAACACTCAAGTCTCTGCTTTCCTTTTTTTCTGTGAATTATTATAAAACTATTTGTGTTTTCCCTCCACAGAATCCTAAAATCCTGCTATTAGACGAGGCGACCAGGTGAGAAAGACTAAAGAAATGTTTCAATCACAAAACCACTTTACTTTTACTATCTTTTTCTGTCTGCTTTTATTTACTCTGCTCAGCACTGTAGATATGTATGAATACTATAATAATAATGACTTCAGAAACTGTTTTTATTTTGCTGGTTTAAGATTGTTTTGTTGAATGAAACCCTAAACAACCATCTTTCCTCAGTGCATTGGATGCTGAGAATGAGTTCCTGGTCCAGGAGGCCTTGGAGCGTCTGATGGAAGGTAGATCTGTCCGTCTTTTTTGTCTCTCTCTCAAATTGTATTCATGCCAGAATAAAGCTTCAGTACTGCTTCTCCTAGTGCACTGATGCCACCTCTGTTTCTCTTGACTCATGATTTCCTGCTGCTCTCACCCAAACAACAGGAAGGACAGTCGTGATCATTGCTCACCGTCTCTCTACCATCCAGAATGCTCACGCTGTTGCTGTACTGGACCAGCGGCGTATAGCAGAGTGTGGCCAGCACACAGAGCTGCTAGGCAACAGGCAGGGACTGTTCAGAAAACTGATGGAGAAACAGGCGTTTCTACAAGATGAACAGCAACGAGCACTTCGCTGAGAGGACAGGGAGTACAGACGAGTGGATGAGGAAGAGGTGAGGTCAATGCCTAGGAATAAAGTGGCTTTGCTTCAGAAGGGGTGGGGCAGCGGGGAAGATAGGTATTGCCTGGAATGAACAAAGATGGATAAAACTAAAGGAAAGCAGATCTTTCCACAGGGCAACAGATGAACACTAGAAGAAGAGGAGAATGGAAAACCCACCGAGAAACATTGAAGGGTTTTTCTTAAATGCTGCGACTGTCTATTCACTGCTGAACTGACTGTTTAGCTCCACATGAGGAGCTGTTTGAAAAGGAAACAAACAGGGTAATCTGCCGTGAAGACCCACGAACTGAAACAAGGATCAGGTTCTTAGAGATGCTTTATTTTGAAAATATCTAACTAATATCTGCACTGAAAGACAAGGTCTGAAAGAGGATGAAAAGGAGACACGATGAAGACAGACACTCCTCACACAGCAACATGTCATTTTTTAAAATCACTGTTACTACCATAGTTTTCGAGGAAAGCCTAAATCCTGTTTAAAAATAGTTCAGGCGTACCTGAGACGTGCAGAATGTAAATGTGACCGTATGCATCTGGTGCAAATGACTTTCACTCTCACTTTCACTGTTGTCTGTTATCACTTCATGATTTTCATAAGCAAACCAAAAACAGTCCAGTACCGTGTATACACAACTGCTAAATGTGTATTTGTGACATATTGTTTCTATTTAAAACTTGAAGCCCTCATGCAGAGTATTTACAGACATTATTTAAAGGAAGCAGCTATTTGTGTTGTAGTAAAGCAGGACTGGACACTATGAGGACATGAATTAAAGTCCAGGTAAAGTAAAATCAGAGAGTTCTTTCTTAACACATGAAACATGTTAGAAAGGACTTGTTGAAAATGTGAAAAGACTGAGAACTGTGCAGTGCTCTGTTGTTAAGTTAGACAGTTAAAAATCTGTTTCTCATCATTCTGTGTCCAGGATTTTTTTTAACATAACCCCTCCCCTCACCATATAAAAACTAACGTGTAGCATCAGTGTTGTTTTGTTCCTCCCTGTGAGTGAGTGGTGAGTTTGCTACATTCAGCAATCTCTCTTGGCTCCTTCAGTCTAATAAACACACGAATAACTATCTTTGTTAAATGCTACTATCATATAAAAACAAGCAAACTCACCAACATACCTCTCAGTCTTTCAACCGGAGTCAGCTACCCAGCCTGCTGGCGGTTAATGCTCACTGCTGTGGTGGTGTTCTTTGTGCTAATGTTAGCTGCTGAACGAGCTGAATGAGAGCAGCTTCACAGCAGATGCACCCACGGCGTCACAGCTTTTCACATTTTTTAAACCTTATTTCATATTCTTGCCATTTTTTTCATCAGTAGAAAACACACTTTTCTGTGATGAGACAAACTCAGAACACATATTTAGTTTTTCTTTACCCAGACTTTAATTTCTGCACATTTGCCATGAAAAATATTAGTGATTGTCCTGTGAGTCACAGCTGAGGTGCTACACATCTTAAAAAAAAAAAAAAACATTATTTCTTTCACCAAGGACTTGGTCTCAGTTAATCGTATTTACATTGGGATGGGTTTACCAGTATGTTTAGATTCAGTGAGATTTCCTTGCTTTAGATTTAAGTGACTGCCCTGGAACTGCTAAACCTTTCCATGGTTACATGTCAAACACAGTAACTGTGCACTTGGGAGGGTTGAGTGAGGCGAGCTGAACAGCCTCTTCTCTGTAAGATGTTCTGCTGCTCTCTGGGAGGCACGAAAAGGGAGACATGTCATTAAAGTCAGAGGTGGTCTGTGTGTCATGATCACATCTCTCTTAGCAAGTATCTCATTGTCTAAAATCCCTAATCCCTTCATCTTTTATCTTGTCTTGTAATCTCAGTCACTTTTCTTGGTCTAATCTATAAATGGTGGAAAAACAGAAAATCAGAAACTAACATTACGTCATACACATTTCTGACTGAACACTGTTGACCACTGTGTCTCTCTGTCTCTTCCATAATTGAACAGGATGTGCACTTGGCCGACATTAAATTCTGTGTAAACCGCTCTAAAAGCCACAGCGCTCATGTTAAAGGGCTCGGCTAAGAAGGAATGATTCTCCTCAGTAAATATTTTCATGGTAAATGTCCACTTCACTGCTCAGGGGGAGTCTGTTGGACTGGAGTGTTACGTGAGACATGCAAATGGTCTCAGTTTGAATACCCTACAGCTCTAAAGGGACTGCAGATTGGACTGTTTCTAGAATTGCTCGTGAGAAACAACTAGATGTCTGATGAGAAGCTTTAATTGATTTACAGCAAATGATCACATATTATATAAATGTGTTTTTCTGATGTTCATGTCCCGTAAAATGTCTGACCTTGACTATACTGACCTGTATCTGTCACTAGAGAGGTGTTTTCACATTCCTCTACTGAAGCAGGCAGTGTCGATGCATTTCCATAAAATCCAACCCACATCATCATTATTGGCTGATATTGGCTTCAAAATGAAATATTGGAATGGGCCAGAATGCCAATTTCTGTCAATACGACAAACCAGTTTTTTTCTTTCTTAAACCACCACAAAGGAAAAGAACAGGCTGTGAATGATTATTATCCTTAGAGCTTTTCAAATTTTAAAGGAAAGTTTAAAGACAATGAAATAATAGTACTAAACAGTGCAAACACAAATACATGGTCTTAAGCCAGAAGCCAGGGTATTACACAAGTAGGCCTACATAAATGAAAGTACATACAATAATAATAAAGATAAAGTGGGGTTCAATCATACAGATAGAGAGGTATGTTCAGTCAGAGGATTCGGGGAAGAAAGTTGTGTAATTTTTAGTGGCAAAAAGTAGCTGGAAATGCGGCAGCAGGTCATGAAAAACTACTTTTTTGTTTGTTGGTTTCGAACAATTGTTTGCAGCCTGGTATCCACCACCCCCTCTATTTCCTGACGACAAAGTCAGCTCATATACATGGAATCATCATCATGTCACATAGAAACGTTGATGTGATTCGTATGAAATTTACAAATGTAATGTATCTGTGGTTTTTGCAGAAACCGATTATGCCAAAATTTTCTTCTGGCGGCTGAGCTTCTAAGATCTGAGATTCAAATGACGCAAGGCAACCTAGATTAACTATGTCAGTAATACAAAATGCTTGAACAGTAACCTGGAACCCTCAGCAGACTTATCAGTACAGAGAGCGAGAGTTAACTTTATATGTGGTCAGACCATGTTTTACGAAATATTAATCACAGCAAAGTATTTTTACATAATTTAAAAACTTGTCTGGAGGGAAACTTTAAGTCAGTCTCTATTCGTAAGTATATTTCCTATATTTTCACTGTCTATTTCTAAAACAAAAGTCAGACAGTATGTTGCAGGAGTTTTTCTTTGACATGAATTAGATTTGAATATTGCACCAGTTTTATATATAAAACATTATCAACACAATATTTTCCTACAATATTTTTTTTTCTCTTACCATTTGAATCAGATGAAGAGACTGCAAACCTGTGTGCATTTCTCTGAATGTTCATGCTAGGTTTTTTGTTTTTTTGTTTTTTTTGTATGTTTTTTATGAGTTAGAAACTTGAATTATTGTGAACGTAACTTTCTTTCATGGTTTGACGGCAGTGATGCGCAGAGACTCTAAAAACTGGACATTTAAACAAATCAGTCTTGATAATATTTAAACAAGGAATATATTAAAACAGCATTGATCACTGATGACTGACCACATGAAAGCCTTGTAATGTTGTCTGTGTCTGGTTTTATAAATGTAGAGGTTTTATATATTTATTACAGTGTATAGACTGTACGGCAACAACATGTGAGCTCTGTTCTCTGTCTCAGTTACTTAACTTTAATTAAGATAACTTAGTTAAGAAAGTTTCCATGTGCTTTGTTTTCTTTTGTGATGATTTTAATGTTGTGTCTTAAAGGTAGCAACAGATTTTAATTTCCTCACACCCCATTAGTTATCATCTCAAATTGAAACCTTTATTTTAATGTCACACCATGAACATTGTCTCTGAACATCACGTGTCCAGACTTGTGTCAGGTGGAAGTACATTTTTAAAATCACCAAACTCCACCTATTCACATTAAATTGAAAGAATTCATGTTTTGTTAAAAATCACCTCAACACTCACTCCGTAAAAAGTGAAAGTTTCCCAGTTAATGACAGATCCATGTCTAATAACAAATCACAGAAGACCACCAAGAGGTTCTTCTCTTTTTTTAAACTTTGTATAAGTTATAAAAATCATGATCTAAATGATGTATGATAGATTTTTTAATTATTTTTGTGTTTGGTAAATTATTCCATGTAAAGGTAAATAAAGTGAGGTATTGATAGTTTTTATTTGTGGGAAGATTGCTTTTGTTATGTTGATATTTTTTTGCATTGGCATAGATTTTAGGGGGGGGGGGCGTGGGGGACGTGTCTCCCTCAATAAAAACATTAAAGTAGCAGAGGACTGAAGATATTTACACCATAAATTGGTACAAAAAAAAATCACTAGAATGCAGGAAATTAAGTGCTAAGGCTCAAAATTTTCCAGCAGAGAACCCCCAAATCTCTCCATTTGATATGTTTCTTCCCATTGTTGAATTTAAACCTACGCCCTTCTTTAAGTTGCTGTGTACGTTTTGGTATGTTTAGGCTCATACTGTGAACACTTTTATTAAATTGGAACATATTTAAATAGCTTCAAAATGTGAATTTTTGTTTTGTTTGTTTTTAATAAGTGAAGATGACATTTTATTACATTGCTTTAAGGGGTTAGGTAGACCCATATTATATTGTATGTCTTAAATACAGTGGTCATATTAGCACCCTTTAATCACCATTCCTCTACTGAGCCACTAAAATTGATGAGAAGAGGAGGCAAACTTACGCCTCATCCTTTGCTTTATCAGTTTAGATTATATTTAATAGCTTGTAACGCATCACATTTTCTCATTCAACTTAACATGCTGACATTTCTCATAGTATACTTGTATGATTGTGTCTGGTGTGTTTCCATGCAGTGTGTCAGGCTGTCACTAGGTGGTGCTTTTGCCTCTTACTTTTACTTACAGGGGGCTCAAGAGTAGTGTTCGCTGCTCACTCGGTGGGATCAATGTTCATTCAATCCATCATACTAAAATAAAACTTCTTGGTAATGATATGAGCAATGTGTATTCAGCTGCTGAAAGGTTGTGTTGACAGCGCGGTAAGCTTCTCGTACAAATAGACTCTGCACATTGTCTTATCTGCCCGCACACAGACCGGTCCTGGCAACACAGTAAATTATGGCAATCAGTTGATTTATTCTCCTTCTGAGTGCTTGTTGCTCTTGTGGGGCAGATTAAGAGTCTGTCAAGATACATTGAGTGCGTCAATCAGCCTTTTTAGAATCAGGCTCAGCCGTTGTGTGATAGAGAGGGATTTCTAAACAGCACAGGCACAAGAGGCAAAGACATGCTGTAAAAGACCAATGAAAATAAAACTGAAATATCTTGGAAATTATGCTCTTCTTATGCTCAGAATGAGTGGGTGTTCATTCATGACCTTTGGTGACAGTATGATAAAGATCATCTAAGTTTAAAGACTTTAAACCTCAGCTTTATTCTCACCATGGGCCAACCCTCCAGCAGAGGCAGCCCTTGTGTTCCTGCCCTGCAGAGGACGTCTCAGCTGGCTCATGCAGCTCACCAGGTGCTGCTCAGCCCTGCATGGGTTTCCAATTCCAGCTCCATGTGCTGCAGCTCCGCTTGCTTTTCTCTGTATCTACTCCAGAGCTATTTGAGGAACTACAGGAACTGAGAGGCTCTGACCCTTTACGGCCTTACGCAACTAAATGATATGATAATCTGTTTGCCTTATTTGTTCATAAGAGAGGAAAGTAAATATCAGAATAATTCACACATTTAGAAAAAAGATACTCTTTTTAAGCTCCTGCAGCATTCAGTGAAGCTCAACCATGCCACACCTCTGTGGTTGGTAGGAGCATGCAGAGATTTACTAGTGGAGAGAGTCTTTGGTCTCAGGAAGCAGATTTAAAATTATTTTAAAGGAATACTTCACAGACAAAATGACCATTTGTAAATCCAGTAGTCATGCTATGTTACCTTGAATTCACTAACCTTAGCACTGGAGTCTGGCTTTAAAGAGAGCATTGATAAGTTTCACTTTCAGTTCAGATTTAAACTGTAATGTTTTAGCAAAAATGAATGTGTTTGGGAAGTATTGGGGACTCGAATGGATAAATGAGACTTGAATTATACTGCACAAGTTGTTTAAGAGTTCGTAAATATGATTTTATATAGGCCAAACATATTGTCAAACATGGCCCCCAATCCGTAAAGCCATGCGTGATAAAGTTGTCTTCACAAATTCAAGGAAATACGGCATGACTAATGATTTACAAATGGTCATTTGGTGGGTGAAATATTGCTGTAAGTGAAACCAATTGTTAGTATGAGACATCCCACCACTATAAAACAAGGTGCACTTCACAGGCACAGTTGCATCTTTTTTTTATATCACTTAAAAAAGAGAGAAATTTGCTCAAAACTCTCACTGATCAGGCGTGTTGCTCCCAGTTGTGCCTCTGTGGTGAAATACTGCCCACTTCTTCAGGAATTAAATGCCTTGTAGCACAAATTACATTAAAATGTCTCGTTAGCCTGAGGAGACGTCTGGATTATCTTTGGGCAGGTTTCAAGAGAGGATCAGGAGTCTTGTTTACCCTTGCCAGGAGCATTAGAAAGCAGCGTTAGAAAGCAGTGCATACTCAGCAAGGAGCTGATTTGTGCAGCACGTCACTAACACATGAGGCTAAACAGGAACAGGAACGTGTCAGACAATTTGGACTGCTTATTAAAGGAATACTTCACCCACAAAATAACCATTTGTATGTTAGTTAGTAAAGCTGTGTTACTTTGAATTAGTGAAGAAAATTTTGTTTTTCTCACATGCCTCCACAAAACTGCACATTTTCACTTATTAGGGTATATATACCCTGATGAAGACTCTTGCTGGCTTATCCGTGAATCAATAAAGGATCTTTAACTACAGTCAAAGCGCCTTGGATGCAATTTAGGACTGCCTGCCTGTACCATAGACTTTTACGCTCAGTGAGGTGGCCAGTCGTTGTTTTATCTTTATGTAATTATTCGCCCTATTCTTGAAGAGCACCTGTTTTGATTTTTTACAATTAACTACATAGGGGCTTAACCCAGTGCAACACTTCCTATTTTTTTCCTCAATATTAATTGATTGATTGATTAGGGACCATGTTTAAAAGCAAAGCTATATTGAAACATACAGTTTCAAGCACTCACACAACTTGTGCAGTATAATCCAAGTCTCATTATGCAGTCGTATGCTCAATGCTTCCTGAACACATTCATTTTCACTATAAAAATTCAGTGCTGGAGTCTGGTTTCACTTTTAGTTAAATGTTAAATTGTAATTTTTAAGATAAAATGCATGTTTTTGGGAATTAATGAGCATATTACTGGATAAAGACGACAGCTGAGACTTGGATTATACCGCACAAGTTGTGTGAGAGTTTTTAAATGACTGCTTTTCTGTAGTTTTGCCATTGTTAAACGTGGTGCCCAATCAATCCATGGATTACTATGACCCCTGTTTTCCATGGAGGCAGGCCAGAAAATCAAAATTTTCATTTCAAATTTAGGCTAACACAGCATGACTAACTGATATACAAATGGTCATTCTGTGGGTGAAGTATTCCTTTAAGAATATATCCACATTTTTACAAGCCGGTCTTAAAATGAAAACTGTTTGAATTTGGATAAGAATATTGTTTTAAGACAACACTGGAAAAAGAAACTATCCTTAAAATACCTTTACCTGTCCTTTAACAATATCCTCAGTATCCTTTCTTCACTGTAACACCTGAGATAGAAAACTTATCTCCAACAAGCCTCCTGCCTGTTCTTTACATGCACCACGGTAGCCTCGGTCAGTGAGCACACTGCCACACTTAAAAAGGTAGGACATTTGTGTACAGCATGTGTATTGGTTCCAGCGATTGAATGCCGAGGCTTGTGCTATTCTTACACTTTCTCTGTCACTCTGACCCTCTGTGCTCTCATGAGAGAGACACAGAGTGTTGACTGGAATAAAAATCGAACTGAGTAGGTAGCAAAGGTAGATGACTGAGCATGCTCTGAAAAAAACATCCATTTGTCTCCACCTGTCCACTTCTCTGCCTTTTATTTTACTAAAATAACCACTGTGCAATTTACAAATATATAAAAAAGATACTTTACTTCTAAAAAAAATAAAATAAATAACTTTAAAAAAAAATCTCCCCTTCAGTCCAAAGTCTCTCCTTCAGCTGGCTGGGTGTCATTTCTTCTGACAAACTGAACTCATTTTTCCTGCCACCTGCTGCACATGCCCTTTCACCTCCCTCTCTCTCCTCCCCTTACCCTAGTAGACTTTACAGGAGCCTCCCTGGACTCTCCTCCTCCTCGGCCCCTCTGACCTCCCCTTCCCTCCTCCCTCCCCTCTGCTGCTTGCTCCCTGACAACTGCCAGCCCCTTTACATTTTAGGCGTTACGCAGGCCCTCGTATCCAAAACGGCTCACAACAAGTACATAAAAGTAGCTCTACCTTGCTCTCTGCAGCCCCTCCACTCCCGGACCCCCTCCCACAACACACACGCACACCTTCAGGCACAGAAACAACATTCTCTGAAAACTTGCAGGGCCAATTAAGGCAACTTACTGCCCAACTAATAATGCCTGATTAAAAGCATAGACAGCATAAAGATTCAACGTTCTTTGCTTATCTTTAACCTTTCTTTTCCTCTTGTCCCTCTGCACAAATTTTTGTTTACACTCTATGTCGTATCCGACCACATGCAGTCCATACTGAAGCTTGCTGTTGCTGCTATAATGAGAATCAGGTCATGAAAGGTTGCATGTTAACATGTCTCTGCTCCCACATGAGTCCAGATTAAGATTATGATATGAGAGCTCAATGATTAGCTGTGTGTTTGTACCTACAATTTACCCATTATTTCTTTAAGTGCCTCCCTCCTTGCAGAAATGCAAAAATCTACATTTTCCAACATCTCTTGGTATGTATATGAAGTTTCACAGATGCTAATTCACTTTGATTTTATCTCACTTAATATTTGGTGTCAATTCATGGCAACATGGCAAGAAATCCCCACTTGTTTTAATGTGTCAGAGTCTCTAATTCTCATGGCAGAATGGGTCTCTCTCCTCTCTGCTCCCCTAAATGACCAAATTAACTCTCATCTCTGTCTTTTTCTTTTTTCATTCCTTGCTTCCTTTAAGTTTATTATAAGCTCCTTCGCACCTCCTCTACACTCCTTCTGGTGTCTCATGCCACAACACACACACACACACACAAACATATATGTGCATGCATGTACACACACTCCATTTCTCACTCCTACATGCACACATGCACACGTGCACTACCTCCCCTCCTCCGTTAGAGTTATAATTAATCCAACTGCTCCAGTGACAGAGCAGAGTAGGCCCTGCAGATAGGGTTTCAGCTGTTGGCTGTTTCAGGGGTTCTCTCCTTATTTATTCAATAAGACTGAGGCAGACATGTGTGAATGTCAGGCCATGTGGTCTGCAGAATGACACATTATGAATTTAACTAATTGTTAAAGATTTCTAATGGGGGTGCACTTGTAGCATAATTAAG